TATTGAAACAATACGGTCTTTGTAATAGGACAACTAGTTGACAAATTTATAGAAGAGTAAACTCAACGTGCATTGTCGATTTAGAAAAGGCATTCGACAGAGTGCGACTTCAGGCGCTATAGGTATATCTACTAGATACCATGGGATGGGTACCAAGGAATAATGAAATAATAATGTTAGCAGAATAACAGAAAATATAATAGTTCGAATAGCCCAAGATAAGTCACCAATTGTAAGAACAAGCATAAATCTACCTGAAAAGAGATGGATTGATAATATTCCAATAGAACAAGACGCAATGTTAAAGAAAAACCGGGTGAAGACCTAATCAGCTTTTGATCGTGTCTTTTGACCTGGAATATAAGACATCCACAGAAAATAAATAGAGAAAGGCTTCCTGGCTCCTATAATGAACTCAACCCTTACACCAGAAGGCTTTAAGAGATGCGACATTTATTAGGATTTAAGATATGATGGTTGGTTGATGGCGTCTGAAAGATATGAAATATCTTAAGCAACGCTTGCTCAGACACAGCCACAATATAAAAATACAAGAATACAAGTTTCAAAAAAGGCTTGGGTGGTCATGAACCTACTTTGTCTAAAAATTTAAGCACTTAAATATACAGAATATATTTAAAAAAATGGAAACCTACATATTTGGATTAATAAACACAACAGAGGTTAGGCAGTTGCAATCTGAATTATCTTCAAGAAACAAGTCACCCACATGTTTAATACAATTTAAAAAAAGACGCTAGATTGGATTGGTATTTTTTCTTTACAATGGACTTAGACATTTTAAGGATGAGCGAAGCCTTCGTTGCCACGACGGACACGGCATTTATTTACATTGGATAATGCAGAATCCGCAATTTGGAATCGAATATTGTACTGTATATTTTTCAGTTTTAACAAGTAACAGAGCTTTTTCTTTATCATAACCAGACGAAAATATTATAACAAGTTAACGATAAGGACCAGAGAACCAACGATTTTCTCATGACATTCGTTGATACAGGCATCTAACGACTGCTTTTGATAAATTTGATATATAAAAATATATAAACAATGTAAGATAGCTATTTCATTTTAAATACTAAAGGTTAATTTGTTACTGAATTATTGTAAAAATAGTTTCAAAAGCCGAGGTTTTGAAAATTATTAATAACTTTTCTAAACTTCCACAAAAAACTTTGATTTCGCTTGAAAATAAGGACAATATTTTTTTTTTTCGATTTCCGAAGTGGAAATTGAAATGTCAATAAACTTACTTTAACCTTTAATTGTGGTTTATTCCCATGTAAATAGTAATTACTTTAAAATGCCACAAGAAAATAGCTTCTGAACAATATTTTACTATTTCAAAAACTGTAGTCATAAATTCAAAATTATAAAAGTCGGAATATCTCCGGTTCTATAAACAAAAATTAATGTTTTATTACAGATACCTGTATCAAAGATTGTCACGTAAATACATTTTATTTGCTGACTTCTCTGATCTATTATTAAAAGATCATTTTTGGTTGCATGTCGAAAAAGTTCACGAAATATTCAATATTCAAAATATTTTCTGGTAGAAAATTTTCTACTGTGGAAAGTTTGTGTCCATCACGACATCGGATGTTTCGCGTCAGTTTGTGTAGACCGTTTACTTCGAACTGTCGAAAGCACATCAACAGCTAGTACACGCTGTTTCAATAAACCGCTAGTTGGGAAATTTTTCAATTTAGTGGAACATACATTGGCTAAACATTTTCTGTACAAACAACACCTGTCATTTTACGCTAGTATATGCCTAAAACGACATATTAATGCTACATAATCAAAGATTTGTAAGAGGTTTTGTTAAAGGTCATTTCAGGCCAGTTTCCCCTAAATACGTAATCAAAAACCACTTTTATAATCAGAATTTCTTTTCGGTTTTGTGACCCGTATTATCCTCTTTCCCTTTAACACACGTTTGGAGGATTGAATCTTCGAAGATTCAGTTACAGATTGGATATTACTGATTTCATTTTGTTGCTCTGTTTTCACCAATTCGTTATTATTATTTAATACTAATGGTGTGTTCTCAATATCACTTTCACTTTCATACTCTAAGGTAATCGTCTCTTCTTGTTGTTGCTCAAATGTGACATTTTTGTTGGTGACTTGGTCATTTTCATGTTGATTATATGCAACATATTGTTCTGGTGTGAATAACTGAGCATTAACCGAAACATATTCCATATTGTTATTAGCATTGTATTGTCCACTCGCCATCAAAAGTGATTGAAATTCTTCAGGAGATACATAAACATAATTTACATTGTTGTTGACCATACCATCATTGTCATTATCCTCCATATTACATGCTGTTGCTCTGGCATTTATTGAGGTTGAGGGCATAGGTTCTGGAAACATATTAAGCATTTCTTTTGAGTTACCTGCTGTTACTTCAGTATCTTTTGAGGTTGAATGCGTGGGTTCTGGAGATAGGTAAGATATATTGTTTGGGGTACCTGGTGCTACTCTGGTATATTTTGAGGTTGAAGGCATAGGCTCTGAAGATGTATTATGCAAATTTCTTGATGTACCTGCTGTTACTTCGTTATATTTTAAGGTTGAAGTCATAGGTTCTGGAGATAGACAAGACATATTTTGTGAGGTACTTGCTTTTACTTCATCATTTTCTGTATCTGATAATACACACATTTTTGATTCAGTATCGACTGCTTCTTGATCAAAAACTTTTGTCATTAGTGATTCAGAAAAAAAAGAAACTTGTCTAAAAGAGTATATCTCTATTAGAAGACGTAAACAGTTATGACAAATTTTTTGTGGAAACCTGTCTTCTAATTCCAACTGAAATATAAAAAAATATAGATAAATACAAAAAATAAATAATAGACTGACTTCCAAAAATTTGAATACCCCAAAAAGAGATCCAATTGTACTGAAATTTTCTGTAAAAACTATAATGCTGTGAGAAAAAGCTCATCATGGAAGCTGACATGAAGTAGAAGGTATGCCTGGTGGTGGTTTTCTATGGGTCACAGCCCCCAACAAATTTTTAAGTCTTGCTGTGAGGATCGCAAGATGAATATAAGAACTTCCCCATTCACACTAGGTGGAGATGCAAATTTCAGATGCAAAAGGAATATGATCCTGCTTGGAAACAAATATGCCTGATTGGTGATTATTATTTTTAATTTGACATTTGAGTTTTAATGAAGAAAACTGATAAGGTGATTAGCTTCCATATGTTGCATTTATTTACATCATGACAATGTTATTGTTCCATAGAATTAACTATATGCACTGTTTTCATAGAAAATTTGTTCTATTTACATTTTCAATAGGCCTATTGGATGTTTACAATTCATTTTTAATGATATCTTTCTATTGATTTGTTTCCTGGTATATCCTTTAGTCTCAATTTTTATATATCTATTATAAATTTTCATTTCATGTGTCATTCATTCTTGTGCTTAGTTATAGGTATCACTGTGACTCTTCCATTGATATTCAATTGGTTATTTTAATTCATTCCATTTTAATTTTTGTCCAAAGTATGTTCTTTATTGCTTTCAGACATGCTTTTAATTCTACTTTCAGTCAAATATATAAATTATTTTACATTGAAAAATTAAGAGTAAGTAAATAAAACTGAATAATATAATAACATTTATGTATCTTGTCCTGAAAAGGATAGAAGTTGTATTTAATAGAAACTTCCATATACATCACTTCATTCAAATTTTCATACCGTAAAAACTCTGCTAATATATATTTCTTTCATTCTCAAAAATCTATCTCATTGTCTTAAGAAGGGTGAATTATAATTCTTCAGGCTAAAACTCATCAGTATCAGGTTTTACTGGTAATAAATACATGACTAGAATCCAGGAAGAATGTTATGGAAACCATATTACAAGTAGAGTATTGATAGGCTTCATCCTTATAGATGGAATTAGATTTGTCTATTGCAGAGGAAAAATTAAATATTCTGAATATATGAACCACAACAGACCATCAATATATGATACTTAAATGGTTGCTAAATTATGCCATAATGAAGTCAGTTCCTAATTATTTATTTTATTGCATAAATATTTCTAAATTAAGTGTATATTTTGTACATTAAAAACTAAAAAGACATACCTTGGGCAAGGAAAATATTGGAAACATGTCTTTTAGCAATACATCCTGATGTTTAACAGTAAAAAGGTTAATAATCCCACGGTTTTTAAGGCACGTACGGCACAGATCTTGAAACTCATCTATTGAGTATATAATATGATCATTGTAAAATATGGGAAACATTTTCCTTTAATATTATTGTGACCAAATTAACCTAAAACTATTTATACAATAACTATATTGAAATAACAGCAGGTAAATATTACCTTTTACCATGATAACGTTTTTTTAAATTTCATAATTTTTAAACAAATTATATGTATAATATCGGAGACAGCAATACATATAACTTCCAAAGTCAACAGTTAAAATGGAACTTTGAGTTAAAAAAATGAAAATGGAAATATAGCCAGAGAACTGATATAGCTAACTTCATATTGTTAGAGGGATACAATTGGAAAAGAGTTGGATTTTAATCCATTATCATATTAAAAAAACAGATCTATTTTAAGAGGAAAAATATGTTACAAATATTACTATAGTAGTTTTTAAGTATAAATAGCATTTAGATTCGAAGGAATTCCTAAAATAAGATAAACAAACTGGCAAGCCTAGCAGAAGACGACCCAATTTTTATGGGAAGACCCCATATAAGACTCTATCTCCTGTATAGAGATGGGGTACTAAAAACCAAAAATATTAAAAATGAATTAAACTGTAGACGAAATCTACATATAACAATAGCCTAAATATATAAATCTACATTAAGTAAATAAATTAAAAGATTTGTTAAAATTATGTATTAAACAAACAATTAAAAAGCTCGCTGGAATGTTGTGTTGTAGTAGTTGCCAGTTGCCATTAACAACTATCGTAGTTCAAATATATCATGCAATGTAGGGGAGTTTTAAATATAACCTCTTTAAATACCTAAATAACAAATAACATCAGTTGTTAACAAGTTGAATTCATTAATGTATGTAGTGTTTTGTATACCAACTTGAATAAATATTTGTAAACACACATTTATTAGGTTTGAAAATGAATCTACTAATAAAAAACACCGATCGTTTAAAAACATCAAATAAAACTGCCATACTATTGTACAGCAATAACATACTTTTAAATATAAAATCCTATAAGGAAATATATGAAATAAGCAAGAAAATATATCAGACAATGGAACAATTAATGATAAATACAACAATCAATTGCGTTGGTTTACTAATGGATAAAAATGTATATCTTCCCTCCATCATAATTAGGTAAGATATTTTTTTGTATTAAACATTTATTAAGATTGAATATATTTATACTTAAATATAAAGTATAAAGAAAGCAAAGGTAATATATGTTTCACTGATAATTTTTGGTTTATACTTACAATCAGAAACATACAACAGAAAATACATTTAGCTGTCTTGTTTCATAATTTGAATTATGTGGTTAACTTTACCAAGGATATTCTTATGATTATATGCAATGGATCCTTTAGAAGCATATATTTGAGTCATTGTGCAGAGTTTTGTAAGTTACACCTAAGACAACATTCAATACTATTTTTAATGTTTTTGATTGCATTCTTAATGTTTGATGGTTTTGAATAATCTGAAAAATGTCCCACTTGCATGGAAATAGACTTTCATATACATTTGTACAGGAGTAGTACTTGTCTGACGCCACTACATTCTTATGAGGGAGAAAAAATAGAGGAGGAGTATTTGTCTATCTGTTGTTATAAAATAAATAAATAAATACATTCAAATTTTTAGTTTGCTGAAGCTAAAGTACCCTTTTACTTACATTTCTGCATACATGACAAATGACGATAATGTGCACATGGATTATATTTTATCAATGAATGAAGATAACATTAAAAGTTTTAAAAAAATTTATGAATTAAAAATAGACAAGACGGCAACTATTTACATATGGAAAAATGATAATACTACAGATAATTATAAAAGGTTTGATGATATATTTTGTGTTGTTACTACTTCTGGTTCAACGGGAAAGAAGAAAATTGTCAAAATACCTTACCAGTGCATTGAAAGTAATGCACTTTCTTTGGTGTAAGTATTAATTTATTGGGGGTAAGTTTCCCTTCGAAGTTTAATTTGCTCTTAATGATAAACTTATTTTATTATACAATTATCAATATCTCTAACAGTAAGACTTATAATCAGAAAGTAGTTTAACTAACATGAACTAAACTTACATAAATTTTACAAATATTTATAACATTTTAGGAAAGTATTTCAGATAACTTCTAATGATAATATATTTTGGGGTACACCACTTTCCTTTGATCCATCCTTAATAGAATTGATGCTATCCCTATTAAATGGAGCAACTTTAACTATAGTACCTCCAAGTGTTTATATTAATCCTTCAGCACTTTCAAAAACTCTATTTGATGTCGCTAAGGTGACAGTTCTGCAGATGGTGCCATCAGTTTTCCTCAGGTGGAATGAACATACTATTGGTAAAATACTGCAAAATAGTTCTTTGCGATTACTAGCCTTAGGTGGGGAATTATTTCCAAAAAGTTTGTTAAAATTTGATAGGGATAAGAAGCTATTATTATTTAATTTGTATGGAGTAACTGAACTGTCCTGCTGGGCCACTGTTCACCAAATAGATCAAAACACTACAGATGATATATCCATTGGCGACTGTCTGAATGAGACTGTTCTGAAAGTGTATGATGAAAATTTAATGGAGATAAGTGAAGGAATTGGAGAAATTTACATAGGTAATAATTTATATAATACACTAAATCAATTTCTAGGGTTAAGTTGGGTTCAGTAAGCAGAGTTATCTTTGTTTATCATAGCTAACAATACACAGGGGTTGTGAATTGTTACAATGATGCTCATTTTCAAGTATTTGTATGAATCATGTTCTTCTGTCTTTTTTTTTACGCAATGAGTTTTCAGTTTTTTTATTGTTAATTTTTGATCCAAGTGCATTTTCTAATATTTTCAAATTTTATATTGTTTTTATAGTCTTTAGTTTTAAAAACACAAAACAATTTTTATATTAAAAATTAATAGGAAAATCCCAGTAGTTGGCTGTATACCATTGTTTAAAAAAACATACAGAAGTTAAAACACTTCACATTTGTATTTAGGTATAAAAAGCATAGGTATAGTTAAAACTTTTAAAAAGTGTCGTCAAAATTTATACAGTAGCATAACATTTTCAATCAAATCAGATCATCTTCAGTGCCTTCTTATGTAATTGAAGCTAACACCAAATTTGTAGCTGTGACTCTAGGTTGATGACATTGGATAAAAATTAATACTTGAGGAGCTACATGTCTCCTTGCTCGGTTTGAACATCTTGTCAGTTAAAATGACACAGACTAACTGGCTCAGATGACAGTAAGATGCTGTCCCATTTTGAGCAACTTGAACAGTGCAAACAACACTTTTGGACTCGTTGGTCAAGAGAGTACATCAATGAGCTACAGCAAGGCACTAAGTGGAAAACTAATGCAGCTAGTGTCAAGGAGGGAGCTATGGTCATAATCAAAGATGACAACTTGCCTTCGTACAAGTGGAATCTAGGACGGATCGTCAAGTTACACCCTGGAAAGGACAATATAGTGTGAGTGGTATCGATTAAAACTGTTAATGGAATTTACAAACGGGCCGTGGCAAACATTTGTCTATTGCCAATCGAGACGGACAATGTTTTTTTGTAACATGATTGTATTTCAATGTTTATTTGATTTATAATGTTATATATATTTTTTATTTTTGCATAGTTCATATTTGTTGAAAGATTGTCTTTCAAGGCTGGGGGCATGTTCAGAAATGTAAAATAATGAGAATTATTTAAATTTGCCGCGCATTTGTAGACGGGGCCTTAGCTGTATTGGCGGTTGACACTTCATGTCTTGCCGAAAAAGAGAAGAGTCGCCACCCGCCAGCCGAGAGTGACAGTCGGTCGAAAAAATAAGTTAACAGATGGCATGTTAATATTATTTTGTTATAAGAGTTTGGATAATAAATTTGGTATCTGTGCACATATCCTTTAATTTTTACTAGAGATATAGTCCACTAGCGAAGTTAAACCAGCGCACCAGTTACAAGGGCGAACAGAATCATTCAAGAAAACAAGAATGATCTGACCTACGCCAACAAATTAAATTAATATGTATTTATAAATACAATTTATTAATATATATTATATTATGATCAAATTGTGTAAGAAATCAAAACATAAACAAAGATCCTACTCTAAAAAAGCGGCAACACTTAATACACTTTTGCCACCACGCAAAAATTTGAAGTATTTCCGTATCAGTTACATACAATTGTCTAATATATTTAATTAAAATTATTAATTTGTGGATATTGGACTTAAAGAGTTATTTCATAAAATTTATATTATTAATAATAACAAATGTTTTCGGTTATTTAATCAATATAATTCTAAAATGTCCCATATAATAATGATTACATTTTTCTAATTATTCCATTATGTTGACGCCTATGAAAAATCGAGCAGTTCCGTATGGGTTTCGTATTATTAGTTGTGTTAGGAAAATTTGAACTCTAAGGTTGATGTTCTGGAAATTTTAAATACAAGTGACGTCACTTTGTAGAAATCGTGACGTGCAAGTGTTTTACTTTGAAAAATGATATATTTTATAGGAGAAATATTAATTTTAATTTGTTTAATATTTGGTGTTTGTTAATAGAGGAATAAAAGAGGATGTAGTAAAAGTTTTAAAAATGAGATTTTGTATATGAATGAACTTTTTTATACTCTTTAATGCTCATTAGATTTTTAATGTAGATATTTCGTTTTGTGAAAATTTGCTTCTCATTTTTTATCAGAACGGATGTGTTATCATATTTGAAATAAATAAAAATTATGTTCGATGTCTGTCAATTAGGATGTAAAGGCATATTAAATCATAGTTTCATTACAAACAACTTTTCATAATAACATTTTTCGATATTTTGAAGTATAAAATTACTTTACTTTTGAGCTAAATTCATATTTTTTGACATACTCCGTATCAGATTGAGAAAATTTGATATCTGATGGTTGCAACTTAGGTTTTAAACCATACAGAGCGTTTTATGAAGGATAACTTTTTTCGTAAAACTAATAAAAAAGTTTCTTATATGGTTCCAAGTTACGCAGACACACTTTATATATAATTTGTACATAAAATATTTTTCTAGGTAGTTATACAAGAAAATGCTACATCGACGACGAACCAGCAGACTTTACCCTACCTATTTTCAGAGAAACTGGTGATTTGGCCTTGTTAAAAAACGGCAAATTATATTACAAAGGTAGAAAAAACAATGTGATAAAACGATTTGGACAAAAAATTAATCTGACTCAAATTGAAGAAACTATATTTGAAAAATTCGGCCTTGAAAGCAGGTGTGTGTGGTCTCAAAAGCATAACAAAATCCTCGCTTTTATATTAATAAAAGAAAACCACAACAGTGATGTTAAAGAACGCATTTTAGATAAACTTCGAAGTAAATTAGTACATGCCTTACCAGAAAATAGTTTTCCTGATTACTTTGATATCATTCAACAATTGCCTATCACCTCTCATGGGAAAGTTGATACAAAAAAGTTAGAAACTTTCTACACTATTAGTATAAATGTGTCCAATGGTGATGTTCTCCATATATTTATAAATCTTTGGTGCAAGTACCTTGGAGTCAGTAACAATGACACTGACTATTTAAACAACTATACTTTTTTCGAGATGGGTGGAAACTCTATAAGTTTAATGCAGTTAATAGAAGAATTTCGAACCTTAACCAACAATCAGTACACAGATGAAATCGTTTCAACAATCTTCGAGAAAAACTTTGCAGATTGCGTGAATGTTGTATCACAAATGAGTAAGAAGTTAGTTTGTAATGCAAAATGTGAAAAAAGTATGCACTTTGACATTCCCGTTAAACGACCAAAAATTCAACCTGGTGAAATCGAAATAATCTGGAAATATGATCTAAAAGCTTGTGTGGATAGTTCTCCATTAGTCTTCAAAGATAAGGAGTAAGTAGATGAATTTTTTCTTCATTTTATATTTTTATTTTAGATAATTTTTTCTTTTTCCTTGGATTTCTTTTTACTGTATCACTTTATTTTTTCGCCAGCGTCCAATCCTACGATATCTTAGAGATATTATTCGTATTTTCATTGTTGTATTTCCTTTGTATTTACAGGATACACTAAACCTCCAGCTATTTTTGATTATGGCTAAACTATGGAGTATATAAAAAATGTTTTAAACAAAACTATGTATAATAAAGACGTCCATAAGTTAAAATTATTTTCGATTATACAGGGTCAGTCAGAACAACATGAACCAAAGTTGTTTTTATTGAAACACCCTGTATATTAAAGTATTTTTGAATGTATTTTATAAAAATATGAAGAGTTATTTTTAGGCTTTATAGGCCTTCTTCTTAACGTGCCTTATCAAGTCCCCTTGACGTTGGCGATTAACATGGCGAAACTGTCTCTGTCTCGAGCTATTCTAAAGAGTTGTTCAGCTTTTCTTATTGCTGTCCACTCTCTGATATTCTTCAACCAAGAGGCCTGCTTTCTACCAATTCCTCTGCGTCCTTCGATTTTACCCATCATAATAAGTTGAAGAATATTATATCAGTCTCCCCTTACTACGTGTCCAAAATAGGCCACCTTTCTACATTTGATGTTATCAAGCAGCTCGCGAGCAGCATTTGTTCTCTCAATTACTGCCACATTTGTCAGCATAGCTGTCCATGGAATTTTTAGTATACGTCTGTGCAGCCACATTTCAAAGGACTCCAGACGATTAATGGTGGATATTTTTAATGTCTATGCTTCGACACCGTATAAGAGGACTGACCAAATGTAGCATTTAACCATGCGCTTTCGAAGTTGAAGTTGCAAGTTATCATCACAGAAGAATGGCCTCATTTTTAAAAATGTCGTGCGGGCTATCTCGATTCTACATTTTATCTCTTGATCTGGATCTAGTTGTTCAGTAATATGGGAACCAAGATAATTAAAAGTGGACACTCTTTGAATTATATGACCATCAACATATAATCGTGCATCTTGATGTGCTAAACGGCTAAACACCATGTGTTTTGTTTTTGAACAGTTTATGTTTAGGCCAAACTCTCTTCCCACTGTATCAATGGCATTTAAAAGGCATTGTAGTCCATTCATGTCATCACTTAAAATAACTGTATCGTCTGCATATCTGATTGTATTTATCAGAATTCCATTAATTTTCACGCCCCATTCCAAATTATGCGCTTCTTTAAATATTCTATCTGAATATAAATTAAATAACTGTGGGGATAGTATACAACCCTGTCTGACACCTCTTTATATTTTACATATTTCTCCGTTTATGCAAGCTCTCGCTGTTTGACGCCAGTATAACTTTTCTATGATTCGTATGTCTTGACTATCAACTCCTTTATTTTTTAATATTGTAATTAATTTGTGATGCTGTACTCGATCAAAGGCCTTTTCATAGTCAATAAATACAGCAAAACGTCTTTCTTTTGATCTCGACATTTCTGCAGTAATACATTTAGTGCAAAGAGGGCGTCCCGAGTTCCCAGTCCATTTCTGAAGCCAAATTGTGTTTCATCCTGGTCTACTTCACATTTATCTCTGATTCTACTGTGGATGATGCGTAGAAATATTTTCAAAGTGTGGCTCATAAGGCTTATCATTCTATAATCGCTACAATTTTTCGGACGTTGTTTTTTTGGTAGTGTTTTGAATTCGGACTTTAACCAATCTTCAGGGATATCACCAGTCGAATAAACATAATTGAAAAGCTTGACCAGTATTCCAATGTTCTCCTCATTTCTAAGCTTTAACATCTCTGTCGGTATGTTATCAGGGCCAACGGCTTTCTTGTTCTTTGTTAACTTTATAGCATGCAGTATTTCTGATTTTAGTATTTCTGGTCCTTCACCTTCAACTAAAGTCTCCAGTTCTTCGGGTCTATCATCATTATACAGTTCACTTATATACCAGGTTGTTCGAATTTCATGTTCGTCTATTATCATTGTTCCTTTAATAGGCCTAAATATTAGAAATATCTACACTTTTCTTGAGAAAAATGGTAATAGTTAAAGGACTGTGGATTAGGATTCCAAGGTAATAAAAATGTAAACGATATGTCAAAGATTTTTGAGAGTAGCGTTATTTTTAAATAATTTAATATCTTTGAATTGGAACCATATAAAATACAGTGTGATCACTATTTTCAAAAACAAAATTTTCTCTCTTTTTTTAAATAGAACACTGTAGAGCTCTTGCCAATCACTTATACAAGTATCCGACCTTACTAGATCCGCTCAGAGCGACTTATGCGAAGGCGAATGACAGGAGCACTGCGTTGAAATTAAATCTCAAACATTTTACTGCTTTATTTATTTACTTATGTTAGTGTGTACTGGAAACTATTTCGCCAAGGATTTTTGCCGTGGCGCATCGACAGGTCGTGGAATGCAAATTGTAGATTCCCCTTGTCTGCTAATGTATCATCTGTCTGCTTTGTATATTTTAGAAAGCACAGTAAGGCAATTATTTGAATTTTAGTTTCGCTAAGTAAGAAATCATTTTCTTACGTATTTATACATTTCAATACATTTATACATTTTATTTTCTCAAAGATTATATTAAATCTCGCAATGAATACGCAAGGAACAACAAGGCACCCGGCGAAGATCTAATAACAGCCGAACATTTTAAACACCTAAGTGATAACGCTGTCAGGAAATTATGGAAATTAATAATTATATATGAACATGGCATAAAACCACATGACTGGCTAACATCCACATTATATAGCTCTTCCTAAAAAACAAAAAGCAAGGAAATATGAAGACCATCGAAGTGTATCCCTAATGAGTCATGCCGCTAAGTTTTTTATGCGAATAAAAATGCGAATGAATTCATAATAAGTATGACGAATACCTGAGTCGTTCTCAATATGGTTTTAGAAAGGGTACAGGCACTAGAGAAACAATTATGGGATTGACACTGATGGCAGAAACGTATCTTAAGGTTTAAAAACGGCTGTATGTGTGCTTTGTCGACTATAGAAAGGCCTTCGACCGCATCACAGACGGAAAATTGATTGAGGTGATAAAAGAAGTAGGGTTGGACGGACACGATATAGCTATCATAAGTAATACATACTGGAACTACACAGGATGCGTTCGAACAGAGAACGGAAACACCAAGTACATCAACATAGAACGAGGAGTGCGTCAAGGGTGCATTTTATTCCCCTTATTATTTAATGTATATGCCAAATATATATCGCCCTGAAGGTGCCAGAGTCAATGGAATAATCATATATAAGATAATATAATATAAGATATGCCAATGATACCGTAGTATTTGCAGAAACCGAAGACCAACTAAAAATATTGATGAACATATTATCCGAAGGAAGTCACAGGTTGGGCTTGGACATTAACTTTTCCCAAACCAAAATTCTGGTATTCCACAAAAACCCGCATGAACAAGTTACACCTAACATACAAATAAATGGTATCACCCTGTAGAGTTTCCAAAGCTTCATATACCTGGGCAGATAGCTAAATAGTCAACTAGACCACTCCAAAGAAATTAGAAGACGCATTGAAATAACAAGATCTGGTTTCATGAATATGCGTAAAATGCTCTGTAACCCCAAGTTATCAGTCTCAATAAGATTGAGAACACTAAAGTGTTATGTGTGGTCTCTATTACTTTATGACTGTGAGACCTGGACATTAAAACAGTATGACGTCAACAAATTAAATTCATTTATAATGTGGATGTACCGCCGAATGTTAAGAATAAGCTGGATCAGCAGAACTACGAATGAAAAAGTACTGAGTAATGAACACACGCCCTCATCTGGTCAATACTATCAAAATTAGAAAGTCATATCAAATACTATAGACTATAATACATCCAACTCCGACACAAAACTGGCAGCACGTTGCTTCTAGCGCCACGGCGGCTTGAGTTGATAACTACGTTTTGTCAACATAAACATACAAATTTTCTTTTTCTAATTTTTGTATTATTAGCTAATCTCGCTAAATTTTGTTTCTACTTTTACACAAAATGTCACACAAAATGGGTTCGGTGTGCGCTATGTACGGCTGTAACAATTATAAACAGCAAAAGGAACACAAATCATTTTTTAGAATGCCAAAAGATAAAAATGTGTAAGTAGAAATATTGATTGAAAAGTTAAAATTTTGTTTTTTTAAAAGTATTTAGCGGTATGTATTTTAAATATGACTAAATTTCAGTTTAAAACAATGGATTGTAGCTTGCAAGCGACAAGACCTTGACTTGCTATTTAAAGAAAAAGAACCTGAACATTTTAATAAAAGCTATGTGGTGTGTTCAGATCACTTCGAAATACAGTGTTTTAGAAACAAAAACTTATTCAGCCAAGGGTATGTTCTTTACTTTATGATAAAGTAGTTATTAATAAATTGTAAAGTATGTTACTCTTTTACTATCCATTTTGCAGCTTGTTTCGTGGATCGGTACCAACTATTAATTTATATCAAATTCAAAATGCTCCAAAAAGGAAGATTCGAGATACACCAGTAACGCACGAAAGGTTAGCTATTAACATATAATTTATTCTGTAATATTTTATGCAACATTTATTATAATTTTTAGTCATAAGAAAATTAAATTAGCAGAAATGCCGATGGATTTCACAAACACCTTAACTTGTGCTACAACAACTAATGATGCATCAATTAATGATCTAATTGAAAATTTACAAAAAGAAAATGCAAATTTAAAAGTATCTATTGCCATGGAAAGAAAAAAATTAAAGAACAGAACCAGTTTATTATCTAAATACAAGAAGCAAAATGAAATTTTAAAGCGTAAACTTCAACAATTTAAAAAACAAAGATCATTAAACTTAGTCGGTGAAAAATTAAAAATGAATAAAGTTGGTAACCAATTCATTAATAGTCAATTAAGGTTGTCGCAAAGACATAAAAGAGGAAGAAGGTACGAAAGTTTTGATAAAGAGTTTGCTTTAGCTTTATTCTATAGTTCGACAAAGTCGTACACGCTACTTCAAAAATTTTTCTGTCTTCCAAGTTTAAACTCTTTACGATCTTGGCTAAATAATTTGCATGTATGTTGTGGTATAAATGAATCTGTATTAGAATTGTTGAAAATTAAAAGCAAAAAACTCCTACCGCATGAAAAAGTAATTTCTATTGTATTTGATGAAATGGCTTTACAAGAAAATATAAATTATGATGCTCGGAAAGATATTTTTGAAGGGTTTGAGGACTTTGGTGATAGAAGAGCTAATTCTTTGAAAGCATGCAACCACGCAATGGTTATAATGATTAAAGGTTTATACCTAGATTTCAAACAAGTAGTGGGATATTTTTTAAGTAAGGAGTGCATATCAGCAAATGTTTTCAAAACTTTATTTTTAGAAACCGTTAAAAAACTGCAAGAAACTGGTTTTATCGTTAAAGCTATAGTTTGCGATCTAGGATCTAATAATGTAAAATTAAGGAAATTATTGACTGTTACTGTTACTGATCCATACATTACAATGAATGAAGAAAAAATTTACTTTTTTTTTGATCCACCACATCTATTGAAATGTATCCGCAACAATTTAAAAAAATATGATTTTCAATATAAAAATGAAATTTATTTATGGTCTCATATTGTAGACTTTTATAATGCCGATTCCCAGCAAATACCTAGGATGGCACCAAAATTAACTAAAAAGTGTATTACTTTGCCCCCATTCACCCCGATGAGAGTATGTTTAGCTACAAAGGTTTTAAGTCATGCAGTACACGTAGGGATGCTATGTCATGTTACATTAAATAAATTACCAGCGAGTGCAGCATACACAGCTAACTTTATTGAGAAAGTGGACACTTTATTTGACATTTTCAATTCTTCAAAATATAATGACAAGAAATTCAGAAAGCCAATTTCAATAAAAAATCATTATCATATTGATAAATTGGATGATTTAAAAGAATTTCTAAGTAATATCAGAGTATTGAACAGAAGAAGAGTTAATCCAACATGTATCAATGGATGGATATCAAATATTAATTCTCTGAAGTTGCTTTGGAATGATTTAAAGAGCAATTATGGGTTTCAATTTCTTTTTACAAGAAGGCTAACCCAAGACTGTATAGAAAATTTATTTTCTATTATTAGGGCTAAGGGTTTTAATAATAATACACCTGACAGTGTGAAATTTAGGTGCAACTTGCGATCTGTCATGGCAAATCAGTTACTGCAACCATCAGCGGACAGCAACAGCGACATTGATGCTTGTTCATTTTTAATTCAAAAAGATGAAATGCTCAAAAATCCAATTAAAGTATTGCTTAATAATCCTATCGAGCATTGCACCGAAAACGACATAAGTAATGACAATTACGATATGATCGAAAAAAATTCTGAGACTTATGTGTTAGGATGGGTTTGCAGTCAATTGCCTCACGAACAATGTAGAAATGCAGTATGTAACTCTTTTAATAATTATTCTTTAGAAAATACCTTAATAGAGTTAAAAAAATATGAGAAATCATCTAATTTTAAATTTCCAAATGATGAAGCCAAGGCAGCTTCAGATAAAATTAATGAAATATTTAAAAGGTATTTTCAAAATTATATAAAAGAAAGCGTTGAAAATGTTAAATATAAATTGAAATTAAAATGTGACTTTCAAGAAACTCTCCAAAATGTATGTACAAATTGTTACAAGACTTTTATAGATAAATATTTTAATGTGTTAATAAAAGCTTATGTAAATAAAATTAACGACAGTAATAAGGAAAAATTATATAAATTAAAATGTAAAAATATCAAATTAAAGAAAATAACTCACAATTAAATTTGTATTTTGATTTAATCTATAAATAAACTAATAAATTACACTTATTAAATAACAGGCTGTTAAATGCATAAGTTTGTAGTTATCAACTCATACCATGAGATGGCGCTATTTTGTTTGCTGCCACAAAACTAATGGGAAATGTCAAGAGTTGTATGTATTATAGTCTATAGTATTTGGTCATATCTAGGACACATAATGCGCCATAGGGAATTTGAGCAGCTCCAAACATCAAAGATTGCACCCACACAAGAGGAAATGAAATAATTCATCAATCCCAGAACAGAGAGAAATTTGCCATATTGATCGCCAACCTCAACAGAGAAGGCACTTAGGAGGAGGATTCTGAATCTAAGTTTTTTTTAAAACAATTTTGGGCGAACCTATCCTTAAATTTATCCAGTGTAAGTTTTTTTCAAGTATCATGTCTTCAGAATCTTTGTCCCATATCTACATTATTATTCTCCAATTTAGTATATTTACTTATTGAATTTTCGTCTAATAAAGTTAATAATAACAAGTTTGCTTCTTTTTAAGCGATAATCTCCGAATAGCTGCAGGCAGCTTTTGTAACATCTTCGTGATATTAGACAAAGACGGTAAAGAGATATTCAAAGACGTTCTCAATGGTTCCATCGAAAGTACTTCTACGATATCACCATGTAGAACATATATTTATATTGGATGTTATGAGAATACCATGTACTGTTTTGAAATACAAAAAGGACGAAGAATCTGGGAGTTTAAAACGGGCGACAGGATTAAAAGTTCTCCTGTCTTTTGTGAAGAAAGAAATTCCATCATATTTGGTTCTTATGATAAACATGTATATAGTTTATTATCACTGGTAAGTGTGAATTTACTAATAGTATAACATTAATAATAAACATTGTGACTTGTGATCATAATCCGTTGTGGATGTATTTGAATTTTTAATTTAGCAGTTCTTCTATTTCCAAGTTATCAATATATATAGACTGGTTTATTTCTTACTTCTCCTTATTTTCCTGCTTTTTATTCTATAAATCAATGTTACAAGGTTATGTTTATTTTTGAAGTTATACTTCTATACGCACGGTCGGCGTTGGAAATTTGCATGAGAGTGAATCTGTGAAAACATTACATATGTAAGATAATGAGTAAGAGAGAGACAGAAGATATATTTTCTCTCTCTTCCTCTCTCGAGAATAAAAATGTTCCTTTTGTATATATTTAATATCATATTATATATATATATATATATATATATATTATATAATATAATATGTATTAATATTATTATTTATGTGATATGTTTTGTATTATTTATTAAACGTTTATAATTATTTTAGGCTTTTGTATTTCAAAATAATCACTCGAGAACTGTCAGTTTTGAAATCCGTTAGTGTGATGTCTAATTGGCAAATTTTTTACGTGTTTGGTTCATACGCTGGTGTTTGTGAGTTCGAATCCCAATATGAATTTCCCTTTTTGTTTTTGAAATATTTAAAAACCTCACATTAATCTTATTAAATATATGTAATATACGCAAGAATGCTAAATTTTAAAATAAAATGAAAATTTACAACATAATCCGAGTTGTTGGTTTTTTATTTTTATCTTCGTAAAGTAAGTTATGTATATTGGCAGTTTTAAATACTTATGAATATTGCATTTTAATTTATATTATATTATTATATTGAATTATGTTGCAGTGTATTTATTGTAATGTAATTTTTATATTAATAACAAAATAAACAATGAATTTTACTGCAGAGTATGTGTAAAAAATTTTTTTTGCATTCAACTCCTTTTATACATATATGAAAATAAAAATATATATTTTCATTAAAATATTGATACAATACTTCATGTGTTTGAGTAGACCAACTTATTGTTTGGTTGACCGTAACACTAAAATTATTAACTTCCCGTACCGATTTCAGAGGAACTCCATCCCAAAAATATGTATATGGGAATTAGAAGATGTAAATGACAAAAAGTCAGAAAACATAGCATGTAAAGAAGCAATATTAGTCTAAAAAATATTTATTGTTGTCAACTCTATTTGTTTTTTTTTGTGGCATTTTGTTGGTTAGTACTAATAATAGTTGGAACTTTATTAATATACTTTATTCTTAGTTCCTTGTTAAGTAGATTACGTTTTTCCAGTTCCTCTCGCACTTTATTCAAATAGTTTATTTGATATTTAGTTAAGTCATCCTTCAATTGAATTCTAGAAAATTTGGTTCATAACAACCTCATATTATTGCGCAACATAAATAATGGACTATCATTATCTGCAAATTTAACCTTTAATGGCCGCTATGCAAGGAACACTATTGTTTATAAATACTAAAATAATTTACTAAAAACGCCTAAATAGGTTTATAAAACTAAATAAGTTTTTTATAGATATAATTCTTATAAAGTCTAAATTTTATGATATCGTACTTTCAAAATAAAAGTTGCAGTATCTACTATTCTGTAACTCTATAAGTTTCGGCATGACCAGTTCAAAATTCAAACCGATAACATTCCTACTAAGTTTTGTTATATTCTGCCAAATTGTTGTACAAAGTAATTGATATGGCAACCCTGTTACTATGTCGTTTCGTTTGAAGCGTTTCGAAGCCGAACGTAATGCTATCTATCGATGATAAATACTACCACTGTTTCAGATGGAGCCATCTCCCTATATTACACATTTGAAGGCGGCGGTTCAAGACATAATTCTTGTTTAACGAAATTTTTCATATGTTTAGGAAAAAATATTTAATGTTTTATTGCAAATATTTTCCACTTTTACAGTTTTATATATGTTCTTATTAAAAAATTTTTTGGTTTCTTACCGGAAGCTTTATTAGAAGCAGAAACATATTATTTTTTCCTATTGGGACAAAACTGTAAATTCAAAAATTTTCAAAAAATTACCAAGTATTTCTTATAATTATATCTTGATGCTGTAAAAAAATTAACAAAATCATATGTCTGGTTTTCCCGCTTTATACTTGGAAAAAAGTAGTTTTTTTGAGTTTTTTTTTTTAAACGAAAACATGAAGTTTGCTTAAAAGTTGTCAAAATACTTCTAGTCATCTCATACACCTTCTCAATTTTTTTCAAATTTTTTGAATTTGGAATTTATCTTTTGGGGGGTGCAGATCAACCTTAACCATACTCCTATTACAGGTCAAATGTTTATATACAGCAAACGATGCACCATATACCTATATAACTAATTCTTTTTCTCTTTCTGCTCTCTCTTACGTATAGCATTACATATGTAATGATTGTGCAGATTGACTCCCAGATAAATTTGTAATGACGAATACATCTATAGAAGTATAACTTCTACGGGCAGTCCCACTGGACCCGTTTTTTTTTATGATTTATATTTTCCATCTCTCCAAAAAATTGTTATTTCTATCCTTGTTTCAGCGGTATCAGTATCACTTTTATTATTTCCTAGTTTATGGATCTAAACGACATTGCGTAGTAATATATGATCATCATCAATGGCGTTATAACTCATCGTGAGTTTTTACCGCGTTTACTATTGCCTTCCATTCTTATCGGTCCTATATCATATCATCTTGCCCCTATTTTTTTCTAGATCTTCTCTGACTGCATATTTCCCTTTTTATAGGCCGTCCTACAGCTCCTCCCATCTGGTCTTTATCAAAAACACATTATTTATGGCAGCTGCCCGATATCCGTATCACATATCCTGCCCATCTTGTAGCATGCTAAATTTCTTTTGAATTTTTTGAATTTAAAACTTATTACGAGATTGTATTCTCAGTTAACTGCGAACAGAGTATCCAATTCTTTGTTGTATCTGCACTCTATCAATTTGTTTTTTTTATGTTATCTCTGCTAGAACTACATACGAGACTGTTGGCCGTATTATAGAGTTGTAGATTTTGATTTTGGGTACATCAGGGGAGAAATTTTGACCTTATTAGATGTAGGCAAAGAGAGTTCTCTTTTTCGCTATTATTGGCATATCATGGTCAGGAGCTTCTGTGTATGTTGATTTAGAGAGTCTTAAAATCTTCTTCGGTTGGCGCATACACTGAGGATATAATTAAATTGTACTATTTACCCTCTTGGTGTACCCTAGGGTTCCTAAAAGTCCCGAAAAGACTGTTTATGCATATATTGACCCGCTTAAGCTCGAAAGCTCTCTTGGTAATTTTTCTTGCACAATAAAAGAATGCATAAATCTCTATCCAGATACAGAAGTATATTCTTTTAGCGGAACAGAAATTTTTAAAGTTTTTCGTATTTCCATAATTCGCATCTCTGTAATTCCAAGGCAAATAAGACTTTGCACCATGCTTAATATTTAGGATGGCACTTTTTGCTGCTTCTTTGGCCGCCATACTACTGATGTACATATGTTATTGTACATTACTAATATGTTAATCCGATATAACGTGTCTGGTTTTAAACCCAACATTTATCCATAAGTGCGTCTAGCTACCATTAAGGTAATCACTGGTCTCTTGGTTATTCGTTCTAACCGCTGATTTTAAGTAAGCCCTCAGTTTAATATTACCCCAAGGTACCTTACGCTATTCATCGACTTTAGATTTTGTACCATTCAGATTTATACAAATTAATCTCCCCAAATTTCTCCTTCTGGTAAATTTCATTGATTTGGACTTTGGACACCAAGGTACCTTACGCTATTCATCGACTTTAGATTTTGTACCATTCAGATTTATACAAATTAATCTCCCCAAATTTCTCCTTCTGGTAAATTTCATTGATTTGGACTTTTATAACCATTTGAGGCAAATATTTGAAGTTCATTCTATAACCATACTCAGAGCCTGTTGCACTATATTTGTGTTGTTCAAATCTAAAATTAAAATTCAACTCAAACTCAAATCTTAAATTATTAATTACCGATTCAGCATATTAGTTCCCATTTAATTTATATTTGTTGAAGTCTAATTGTTAAAAAAGGTTCTGTTAGACTTTAAAGTTAGTCATGGTTATTTTATGTTGAAGTAACAATTATACTATTTGCAGTTCTAATCTTTAATTTCATTTACCCATTTTTTACTTTTAGGATGGCTCACTTTGCTGGAAAACAGAGGTCGATGGTAGTATATCTTCTAATATACTAATTGACGAGACCTTCGGAATATTTGTTACTACTACCCATGGAACTTGCTTCTGCCTTAAACATATGGACGGGAAAATTAAATGGAAGTATCCTTGTGGAAGTCCCATTTTCGGCACACCATATTTGTTACCTACTAGTAAAATAGTAGTGCCTTCAGTACTAGGTGTTTTATTTTGTCTATTTTCAGAAAACGGAGGTCTGGCTTGGAAATTCCAAGCGAGCGGTAATATATTTTCGTCCATAATGTTTTATAACGATAGACTTGTATTTGGTTGCCACGATAAAAACTTGTACATTTTAGAAGTAAATTCTAATGGATGCAGTTTAATTGAGAAAATATGGCTAGGTTGTGAGATATCTTCAACGCCTTGTATATGCGAACAAGATTCTCCAGAAGTCATTTGTTGTTGTAATGATGGAACTGTGCATTTTGTGAACTTTCAAGATTTATCTGTGATGAGACAAATTAAGTTACCTGGAGCAGTATTTTCTTCTCCTGTAGTATACGATAGAAATGTGTATATAGGATGTAGAGATAACAATTTATATTGTTTGTTACTCAAATAAATATAGTAAGTATTTTGTATTCATAATTGACTAAACCAAAAAACTAAATTGAAGATCGGAAACAGTACTTTCATAAGAGCAAACAATAAGCTGTCCCAACAAGATACCAGTCTTAACAGGGAAGGGGATCGTCTCAACTCAGTCCTCTTTAACGCCCGATAAATCATATCATTCAACAAGTGAAAACCGCGGGAAGAGGTTGCAGAATGGGCATTACAGAATTTTAAATAATTTGTTATGAATGAAAACACTAGATCTAACGTGTTATTTGTATTATTATAAGCAGAAATTCTGTTACAATGTAAAATAAATGCAAGGAAACATATTTTCTTACGCGCTACCAATGATCAAATTCAAAATTTCCTAAAATTCATGATAAACACGTGATTTTCGTTGTTTTTGCTTAATTAAGTAATACAAGGATATATTGATATTAAACAAGCCTTTGATAGATGGCGCTACGTCATATCGAATTGGTTTCGGTGTTGACATTTGCCATTCATGACAGACATTCATTTGCCTGTCAAAATTTTAAGTTTTAAAAACAATTAGTTTGGTTTTTACAGCCGTCAAAAGCAAGAAAATTTTGTGTTTTTGGAGAAATGGAAAAAGTCGAGTATCGTTCAGTGATTAAGTTCCTCCACAAAAAGAGTAAAACGACTGTGCAAATCAAAGCCGACCTGGACGAAGTTTATGGTGAGGTTGTACCTTCCTTAGCAACAGTAAAATTTTGGAAAGCTGAATTTGTTCGTGGTCGTACGAGTGTTTTTGATGATGAGCGTCCCGGGAGGCCAAATGAAGTCACCACGCCGGAAATGATCAACAAAGTCCAGGACATGATTATGGCAGATCGTCGAATTAAGCTCCTCGAGTTAATAAAGGTCCTAAACATTTCCTACGAACTCGTACACAAAATCAATCACCATTATTTGGACATTAAAAAGCTATCCGCGCGATGGGTGCCGCGTTTGCTGACAATCGATCAAATGCAAAAACGTATGACCACTTCGGAGACACTTCACCGTTGATGAAACCTGGGTCCATTATTACATACCGGAAACCAAAGTACAGTGGCGCAAATGCGTCGAATGGCTACCGAAGAAGGCAAAGAGTGCACATTCGGCCGGCAATGTGAGGGCGACTGTTTTCTGGAATGCCAAGGGCATCATCCACATCGACTACTTGGAAAAGCAATCAATGGTGAGTATTACGCAGCATTATTAGATCGAATCGATGCCGAATTGCGTCGAAAACGCTCCGGATTGGAACGCGAAAAAGTGCTCTTTTTGCTCTTCACAAATGATGAAATCGCTGAAACTTCGGCCTATTTTGAAGAGCTCGAGCAAAAGTACTATTAGGATGAGATAGAAATTGGAACATCGTCTTACTAAGTGTATCCAGCTAAAAGGGGACTATGTTGAGAAATAAATCGATTTAATTCTAAAAAACTTGTTTTTTTATCAAAGGCTAGTTTTATATCAATCCACCCCCGTACTAAAAAAACCTGCACCCAAATAATGCATTCTCATCCAGCTTTATTACATCCTTACGGGAAAACCGATCATGCACTATGATGAAGACGATATAGAAAAATAAGAAATATGCATTAGGCATAGACACGCGCTAGGAATATCAAAGGAGGAGACCATTAAACTCTCAGGAGTCAATAGAAGAAAAAGTCTTATCATATAAATCTTCCAGGTTATCAAAAGAAGACAAGAGATCAAATAAAATTAAATACGACAAGTTAGTTGTTGAAGAATTATAGCATTTGACTGAAAACAGAAACATTGAAGAAACATGAATTTAAATTGAAATAATTAATATAAGGGGTGATCACGAGAATGTAAAATATAATTTGAGATCGAAAAAAGTTGAGATTAAAGATACTAAAGAAAAATGAAAGGGTATACAGAGAGAACGAAACAAAATAATTATAAAATCAAAGAAAATATAATGAAATTAAATTAAAATGAAAGAGGAAGACTACACAAAAAGATAAATTGGAAATTTATATCGAGGGGTCCAACTATCAAATGCCTCCTAATGAAAAGAAACTCAAAGAAATAATAGAGAAACCAAGGAGGAGTTATACATACACAGAAATTGCTAGAAAGAGATATGGATACAAGACCATGTAATGAAGGAATGGACCGAAGCTACTCTGTCAAATTCACAAAGAGGTTACAAACGTATGTGTCAAAATAAGAAAATGTAGGATTAACCCATACTTGATTGTAATGAAAATTAAATTTTATAATTGATATTAGGGGTTTGCTTTCCACTCAGAAAATCGTTTTCTAAAAAGATTATTTTACAATAGTGAGCTGTTTTTATATCCAAGTTGTTTGGAGCTTAGACCAATAAAACTTATAGACACGCCTTGTACCGAATCGTTGAACCTTCTGCGCAAGTGACGTCACACATTGGCAAGAACTCTAATATTAGATTGGATTTTTAGAAAAGCCCTAATAAAATTACCTAATTTTAGATGAATTTTAATAAAACTGCAATATTTAACAAGATAAATAATTTAGCAAAGGAATTAATGAATATTTTGGAATTGAAGTAATTTTGTAAAAATAAATGTTTTATATAAAAGTGTACATACCTCTTCTTGTTTGATAATGAAAAATAAATTAAAAGGATAGAAATTTTACTTGTGGGTGGAAGTTTCATTGTAGGGGAAAAATTATGTCTATAAATTTATTTATTGACCACAAAATAGTTTTTGTTAACTTATTTCTTACATTATTATTTAGTTTCTCACCTTCATGGTACAACCTTATATTGCAATAATGAAAACAAATTATCTTTATTAGATTAAATAAATGCTTACTTTGAAAATCATGATCAAATGATTTAAAAGACTGAATTATGCACATTACCCATGACATTTAAGAATAATTTTGAATCATACACAATTCTAATTTCACTGTCGGCACTTTTGCAAATATGAATAACAACTTTGGAAGATTGAATTAAACAATTATTAGATATTCTATAATTTTTGTGTCTTGTGATTGTACGTTATCACTTTCAATTGCACGCAACATTTTGATTTGTTTTGAAACAATTTGTTTACTATCACTTTATATTCCGTATCTCAAGTAGATGATCCAAGATAATGTCTTTGCTTTTTCAAGGGGTTTTAAGGTAGTTTCCTCTGGAGTCATAATGGTCGTAGATTCACTCGTTGTTAGTTATATTTTCACTTTTAGAGCTTGTTGTCTGTGACAGTTTTTTGCAATGACGAATCTTTACGAAATCTAAAACAATTTATTTGCTTTATCCTTCAGTTTTCAACGTAATTATAAAATAAAAATTATATAAGACTCTCATATATTTCACTCTCATCTATTTTAAACACTTTGGAAAAGAAAAGTAAATTAATAGGTGCTAAATTTCTGGTAAGTTTTTCAAGTTTAATTTATGAATTTACTTACCCATGAATGATATATCTGTCTTCTTTTTGTGTCGTTGCGTACAATTAAATACGCTGCAAGATAATACTGTAATTAAAAAAATAATATAATGGAAAACTATTAAATTGGAGCTTAATACTTATAAAAAGTTTGCAAACACCTGTAAACGCTTCTAGTTTCTGCCATATACTGACGTCACGCATAGCTGCGAAAAGCCATTTATGTTGGATTCACTCTTCGAAACGGGGGTATAGCACAAGGTATAGCCAATGACGTATAATAATATATAGACTAGGTGATCTCTTTAAAAAGTGTCCACAACATGAATACCTTTGTTATTGTTTTGATACGAAGATGCACGAAGTTCATGATTTCTTACGAAGCATCACGAAGTTGATCTTGTGTTTGAAAACATTTTCGCCATTTTGTGTGTTTACATATTTTATTTGACAAGCAAATTTTATTTTAAATTGTTGAGAGTTATTTACTTACTATTTTAGTAAAATGCCATACTATTTTATAAATATAATTTTTTCTCTTATAGACGGGAACAAAAAAAATCATAAATATTTAATTTTAATTAAAAAAATAATTATTGTCATTAAAATATAAATGAGCACGCCGCTGTTCTGGTAAACATACCTTCAACCTTAAGCGGAGATCTTTCGGACACCCCATTATATAGCGAGAATACGGGACTGCTTAGTCTATATATTATACGTCATTGGGCATAGCATACGGCGTGTTTATAAGCTTTAATTGTCTAAGGTTTGGCGTCAATGTTCTAAATTGACGGTTGACTTAATTTACCTCGATCTTGTAGGCATATATCCATGCTCTTAGTTGATAATTCTGAGGGTGATGTTTGTACTCTCAGGATGATATCAAATTCTGACTGCTTTGTGTTTTATGTATTATATTTTTATATATTGTTGTGTTGTATGTGTTATGTAGATGTGTCTTTGATTTTCTGTTAATCCGCTAATGTGGTATGTTCTTATTGCTGGTTTCTTTTAGTATTGGCAACCAGAGCTTGCTACATTTTCACGAAATGTTTTCAATAAAGAATGAAGTAGCAAGATCCTTGTTTTCTTCTTCACTTTTGTGACCGATAATCCTCCCACAAGTATCCTTGTGCTAAATATATATATATATATATATATATATATATATATATATATATATATGTATATATATATATATATATATTTATATATATATATGTATATATATATATTATATATATATATATATATATATATATATATACATAATATACATATGTACGGAGATACAACTGTGTGATGCCTGAAGATGGAAAGAAAACTATCTTAATAGGAAAAAAACAGCAGGTTTTCTTTTTTAAAGTTTATTTTATATTGTTACAGTAAAAGAACTTTCAGATATTCGCAATCCTTGTGCAGCATACAAAAAAATGATGGGAAAACGATTGCACGAATTTGAGTTTAGAACTCTTTTTTAAACAGTGAGTTCTGTCTAAAAATGGAATGCTAAAGCTTATCAAATCTTTACCCAAATATAAACAATTCTCAAAAAACTCTTAACAATAGTTCAGTAAGAAGAGTGCAAAGGATTCATTGGAGACAATTAAGTGGTAAAGAACATTCATGCCAAAACACAGACTAGTTAACATGTCGGTAACTTTCTGTGATATATAATATTTAACAATATTTTTGAGAATTCTTTTATTTAGATCAAGGCATCAAGCTGATACATTTTAACCCACTTTTATTCTGGTAATATATATAATCAAATCACAAAGATACACCATTTCTTTTAAAGTGCCTTATCACCAATGATTCAGACATGCATCTAACTAAAACATAAAGCTATATATTCATATAAATACAATTTCACAACTTATGTCTAACTTACATAAATTCCTTTTTGCAAACAAAAATATAATGTTCGTATTTTAAGCTTGTTTTCTGGTAGAAAGTATTTAGAAATACCACGAAGAAATAATGCATAAAAAAATAGAAATAAAACTTAATATCTCCTTTGTGTGACATCATACAAAAGCTAACTAAAAACTGCCTGATTATCTGGGTACCAAAAATTGAATATCAGATTAAAAAAAGAGTATCATGAACTTTTAAAGACTACATAGCCATTTCTATTAAACAAATAGACAATTATCAAAAAAAGTTCCACATATATTATTACCTAGATAACTGCACCATAACATTGAGTTGCAATGTTTGGGTTTTTATTGTTCTTCGTCTCCCAATTCGTGTTTAATTTTGGAGAAATCGAATTCTTCCCCCGTACCGCGCTTGAAGATATCCAATACATCCAGACAGGTTGTCTCGAAGTGGGTGGTTGCGTCGTAAGACTGGGAGATGAAAATCTGGGATTGAAGACCATCATCTGTTGGCTCGTAGTAATCAGACACAGAGACGAATTTTTGACGAATGATTCCTAAGAGGTCTAGACCTGGTTTTATTTCGATTTCTGGATTTTCGGTTTCCACGGTTGTAGACACCATGGCTATGAACCAACCTAAATCGAAAATATATAAATATAAGGTACACGTTAAATAAACTAAGTCAAAAAAATTGTTTATCAAATACAGTAGATTTTATCAATTCTTTCAATCAATATAAACATGGGTTTCTACCAGATATATCAACAACTGCACACTTGCAAACTTGTGTATATTCACGCAATCTGCTGCAGATGCCATAAGCACTAAAAGGCAAATGGATATAATCTTCACTGATTGTTCAACAGCATTTGATAGGGTTGATCATGTTTTGTTATTAGAAAAACTGGGCACATTCGGCCTTTCAAATAATGCAGTAATGTTTCTGATTACATATCTTAACAGATAGAAGCCAACAAGTTAGAGTTGGTAATTCTTTCTCAGGAAAATATTTGGTAACGTCATGAGTTCCTCAGGACAGCAACCTAGGACCACTCTAATTTGCTTGCTTTATAAATGATTTTTCTAGATGTTTCAAATTTTCGTCTTGCATGTTTGCAGATGATTTTAAGATGTTTAGAGTTGCAGAAAATCAATGTCATTGCCAACTATTACAACTAGACTCTCGACTGCAGTATCTAATAACTGGTTGACAAGTGTGCAGTGATGATCTTCACACGTAACAGGAAGTTTATAAAAAGACTTACGATATAAGTAATAGAGAATTTACAAGAAAATCAGTGTATAAAGATCTTGGTGTGAATTTTCAACAAAACTTGCACTTCAATGAACATTATCACATCACTACTAATGAGGCTTTTAGGATATTAGAATTTGTAATTAGAAACGCTTCTTGACGTTCGCGCCACTGAGTGTGCCGATACGTCCCGACACGACAGGTCACCGCGACTATAAATAGAGCGGTAGCGGAGTAATCGTCGGATTCACAAAAAAAAATCATAAAAAACACAAAAAACGGCTTCGGCCACCAAAAAAATTAAAAAACACTAACAAAAACCGGCTTCGGCCACCAAAAAAAACTAACAAAAACCCCAAAACCCGGGCACGTAGGGCCCAACCCCCTTGAGCACCAAGTCGCCGAGCTGAGCCGGGACTCAGAGCGGAGACTTGAGGCCCAAGTAAGCAATTTTAGTTCGCGGATAAGCTACATTAAGATAAACAGGAATAAAGCGGAGATGCGCTGTCCTGAGTTTTCACATACGGTTAGGAAACCATGTTGGGGTTCAATTACCCAGGACCTCCACATGAAGAGCACTTGGCTGATTGTTGTGCCTCTATAGCGAATCAGATTGCTATAGGGGGGAAAGGGATGGTCTAGAGCATTGGAGCACGGTGGGGTGATTCCTGTTTTTAAACACGAATTAAAACACCTTGCTCCAATGAATTGTTACACCCGATCGTACTACCTGGGTGAACATGTCTCATAGGCTGGGTTCAATCAAATTGCTTGCTTGAATCGTCGGATTCACTCCCCGCCTCTCGACGCGTTAGTGTTCTGAGCTGTTGGACGTGAATCCCTGTCCTGGCATTTGGTTTTCACCTCTGGCTGCGTTAAGTAGTTGAGTTACTGTGACCAAATGCCCATCTTGGTAGTTAGTATTCGCCTCTGGTTGCGTTGAGTAACTGAGTTACCGTTGCTAATTACCCATCTTCCTGTCTTTTGATTTCTTTTTTTTGTTCTCCTGAAGAAGCTACATACAATTGTAGCGAAACGTCGAGATGAACCCACTTTTGGGTCACTCACAAATGACACGGTCCAAACCCCGAAGACGAATAAACTATAAATGAAAAGATCGTTTGAATGAGGATGCTTGGAAAATACTGCGACAAATTGGTTAGAAAGGGCTATTGAATGGCGAAGAATACTTGAGGTGTAACACCCCTGCTCATGTGAATGGTTGGCTTTCATTTAATTTTATTTTGTTAATATATATATTCCATCCTTATGCTGCTGTTGAATTCATGAGCAAAAACTATGAAACACTACAAAGAACGTCTGAATAAAAAACTACTAGAACTCATGAAAAACAGAAACATATGAAGATATAAAACCGAAAGTGAACAATAAGCAGGCAAAAATAATAGGCGAAATAAACCAAAGTGATGGCAACAACATCCAACAACAAAGCCAGAAACATCAGTTTCCAATACACTGTTAATAACTCTAGTGCTGTATCGAACTTGGTGAATTAAGTAGTTCAGGAGGTTGTATTACTATCACTGCCGATCCCAAGCCCGTACAAAAGAAGAGGGTTTACAAGTGAGGTTAATAACCTACCTGTGATAAAAAAGGACTTTACTCACAGAACTATCGAAACAGTCTCGTATAGTTTCTGCGCCCCCACTCTGGTTCCCAAAGGTCTAAACAATTTCGTTTAATTTACTCCCTTATTCACCATATCTGACTCCATCAGACTATCATGTCTTTCCTCAATTGAACAAAAGTCTAAAAGGTCATTTTCTTCCATCTAAGAGGTGCTAGATTCAGCTAGAAAAGCTGTGGAGATCTGGTTTTCAGAGCAAGATATTTTTTTTTTAAAGATGATATGTATGTTAGTTGTAATAAATTTATCAAATTAGGAGAATACATGACATTTTTTACGTCCTCGACATCTCTTACCCACTATTTTTTCTTCTAGGACTCGTGTGCTGAAAAGTGTATTGTTCTCGTGATATGTGTCCTAAAGAGAAAAGTACGCTAAGAATTTTTCAATATATTCTTGTATTCCCTTTGACATTATTGCTTATAAATATAAAACAACAAAAAAACTATAATCATACCTTTGGCAGCTACTTGATGAGTGTAACTGACTACAGAGACGTATATGTCTGAGTTACGACCAACTTGTTTTTGAGGAATGATAACCTGAGTCGATAGTGCATCTCTTGTATTAGCAATTGGATGGTCCAAAAGGCAGATACATCTGATGACTTTTCCCTTCTTGCGTACTCTGTCAGAGACATAAGTAGGATCACAATATACCTGTAATAAAAAAATATTATTTTAAGGGTAGTTAAAAAATATCCTGTAATAACAAAGATTATTTTAACCCTTGAATGCCTAGGCGGGGTACTTCAGGAAGGGGGTAGTTAAAAAATATCCTGTAATAACAAAGATTATTTTAACCCTTTAATGCCTAGGCGGAGTACCTCAGGAAGGTATTACCATTTCTTTAATATGTATTTTAATTGCACAAGTTGGTAACAGCGCTTGTAGATATACATTGGAACGAAGCCCCTTCACTTATTTTTAGTTTATGCTGCGACCTGTCGCGAGTTGGTTTTTTTGTTACGAAGAAAAACGTGCGTTAGGGTTACGCCAGTGCACAATTTAGGCATCAAAGTTTCAAATTTATATTTAATTGTTAAGTTTTTTATCCATTTTGTGTTAGACATATGAGCAAGTTTGACAATACAAAACCGTTAACGTAAGAGGAGTTAGAAAGCATTATTCACAATTGGAATGATGAATGAGATGACTCGGAAATGGATTATGATGGAGTTTCAGAAACGAAGATGATGAGGATCTTAGAAGGAGTTGATGAATGTGACAGATGAGGCAGTTCCTAAATTAACCGCAAAATCACCTAAGCAGGGCGTACAGGTGGAGTAGATAATGTTAGAAGTCTAACTTCTCTTAGATAACATGGCGCCCAACGTGGGGATTGATGTGTAGTTTACGAAGTACCCCTAGCACTTATCTATTTGTAGCTTCGGATGTTCTTGAATTTTACCAAGTCTTGATAAAGAGTTAGTAGAAATTCCTTACATGAAATCAAAATGTTAAAATAAGACAATTATTTGTTGTAGACAAAAGACTAGCTACATAGTCTAGAAATGGGGACAGAGCCCCAACTGGAGATCCTGTAGAGCGTACGATGCTCTAGCTAACGCCGTGGTCGGTTGGCTGTCCCTTGACTTTAAATTGTGCAACTATTTATACACAAATTTCAAGCCAAGTGACCAATGGAAAATTTAGGTAGGCGTGGCGATGCGCATCAAGTGTGCTCTATTGGCGATAGACTAAGGCACTTGATGACAACCAAACGGTTTATTTCCTTATATCTACCCACTTCGCTGTTGTCGGTGGTTTTTTGTTTGCAAATGCAGTAACTTTCAGAAACAACCTACTAGTAGGTTGAAGGCACACGAAAAATTTTGTGCTCGTATTGATTATCAAGATTACTCTGTAAAAAATAATTATTTCGCCCAAGAAATTTTAATGATTTGCTATATACCAATAGTCTCATTGGCAAGTCAATGATTTCGTTAAAAGCAATCAATGATTTCGTTAAAAGCGATCATTTGATCCATCACAAATTATAGCGAGCTTTATAATAACTTATAGTAACTAATTATCTTGCAACACATTGACCAGTCAATGATCTTACGTTTTTTCAATAAAAATTACGTAGTGTCCGTTTTGAAAAATTCGAGATATTAACTATATGATGTTCGTGTGATCCTTTTAAATTAAATTACATCATCTGGCAACCATGATATTTCTATCTTAATTAGCTGTGCGCGAAAAAATTAGAAAGTATACTAGTGTAGTGTAAAATTAACAATTAATAATATTAAATAATATCACCATCGATACTTACCTGTTTACATTTAGCTATTTCGTTGCCAGAACGCACCCCAACTACTTTACCTCCTTCGCCTAAGACTATTTCATCAATAGGTTTGTCTAACATGTAGGTACCTCCGTATATTGCCGATAATCTAGCAAAACCTAAAAATAATATGGTGTTAATGTATTTATTTATTGATAACAAACGGGACAAACCCACTGTCAAAATTATACAAGACTATAGCATTAGAGAAATATACAATATATAAAATTACAGATAAATAAGTACACACTTTTTTAAACAAAGTATCATTTCATACAAAGTAACAGATTTATTTCGTGAGGTAAGTGATTAGCATGTATGAGAACTCGGACCATACCTATATTTGAACCATAATTAGTTCTGCGAAGAGGAACACGGAAAAGTGAATTCTGACGCAGCGAACGAGAAGCAATATGAAAACACATTAGCTGAAGCAATCCAGGAGATTGAATTATTCCATTAACAAGCTTAAAAATTAAAGATAAAGTCAAGGTTAACTAAAAAGAGAAATCATACGATTTCTACCTGGCGAAATCGAATTCAAATATAGGCCGCCGTGCTCCCTAAGACTTGCGAAGCAAACAGCTTGATGAATGCATCGGCAAGGGAGTCTAAAAATTGCACTCCAAATGCCGTTCATCATGGCCTATATTCGTAGTGAATTCGATTTCTGGTACTCCAAATTAAGTAAATAAACAAAACAAATAACGGTATTATATTTTGATTTGATACAGAGCAGCAACAAGCCGCATATACGTATTTCGATCTCTTTAGATCTCCTCAGTACGGTATAGTTACTACTCCATATCAAACCAAAATATTTTCCCGTCGTAGATTATAGTTATTAAAAATAACTATTTACGGACGTAACTACGCCATCTAAGAACAAAAAGAGAAATCATACGATTTCTACCTGGCGAAATCGAATTCAAATATAGGCCGCCGTGCTCCCTAAGACTTGCGAAGCAAACAGCTTGATGAATGCATCAATTGATGGAGTGCAATTTTTAGACTCCCTTGCCGATGCATTCATCAAGCTGTTTGCTTCGCAAGTCTTAGGGAGCACGGCGGCCTATATTTGAATTCGATTTCGCCAGGTAGGAATCGTATGATTTCTCTTTTTGTTCTTAGATGGCGTAGTTACGTCCGTAAATAGTTATTTTTAATAACTATAGTCTACGACGGGAAAATATTTTGGTTTGATATGGAGTAGTAACTATACCGTACTGAGGAGATCTAAAGAGATCGAAATACGTATATGCGGCTTGTTGCTGCTCTGTATCAAATCAAAATATAATACCGTCATTTGTCAAGGTTAACACTTCTGGTAAAGAGAATCCAGATTCAAGAAATCCATCATACCAGAATAAGAATATATAGCAGACAAGAGAAAAGTATAGAGTATTAGAGATGCAATCATACGAAAATCTCTGGTATGTCTCGTAACGAAAACAAGCTGTTTAGGGTTTAGGAAACCAAGACCCTCTCAATCAAAACAACATCTTAATTGTAATTAAAAACCAGATGGTCAAGATATCAATAAAACTGGATCACCTAACATTTTTCATGATTAACCTTCAAGCCATGAAGTAGAAATTTGGCAACAACGCGTGGTAGTCCGACCATGGTTTGTTTTGTTTAACATCTCACATAGGAAGGCTTGTAAAGTTTGTTGAATTTAGTGTTTTTTAACTTTATTCGACTGTTTTATTTGTAAATTGTGTTTAAATCAATTAGAAAATATTAATATAAGTGACATAATATAAGTATACATGACATTTACCAAAACGCAACGATTACCGTAATTCTGGACGATAAATTAATAACGGATAATATAAAAGTTAAACGAGGAGTCCGACAAGGCGATATAATTTCACCTAAACTGTTTACCTTGACCCTCGAAGACAATAAAATCAACAGATTGGGAAAACAGAGGAATATGTATAAACGGAAAATACCTAAAACACCTTAGATATGCGGATGATATACTCCTGATCTCCTCGGAACGACAAGAACTGGAATTAATGCTGAATGAACTTCATGAAAAATCACTGCAAAAAGGCCTAAAAATTAACTTCAACAAAACAAAAGTAATGACAAACACGGAAGACCAAGAGGCAATAAAAATAAAAACAGAAAAAATAGAACAGGTAAATGAGTATATCTATCTAGGACAAGCAATCAGAGCTAATAGAGAAAATCAAACAGCCGAAATATCGAGACGAGTAAGAATGGGATGGGCAGCGTTCGGCAAACTTTCTTATGTTCTAAAAAATCAAACAATCCCTCTATACTTACGAAGCAAGGTATATAACTCCTGTATCATACCGGTGCTCACCTACGGAGCACAGACATGGACATTTACACAGGCCAATTTGGATAGGATAAGGAAGGCACAAAGAGCGATGGAAAGACAAATGTTGGGTGTATCACTTAGAGATAGAAAACGTAACCAGTGGATCAGAACCAGAACAAAGACAGTAGACGCGATAGAACAAGTAGCAAAACTGAAATGGAAATGGGCTGGACACAATGAACGTCTCCAAGACGGACGATGGAACAATGCCATCGGAAAGTGGCGTCCATACAATGCAAAGAGATCCAGAGGCAGACCACAGATGAGGTGGAAAGATGACATCAGGAAACAAGGAGGTCCCACATGGCAGAGAACAGCTCAAGATAGGGAAAGATGGAGAGAACTGGGGGAGACCTATATCCAACAATGGAAGGATAGAGAATAGGTTCAAATATAAGTGAAATTTTATTAAGTTTAGAACTTTTAAAAGATTCTTAACGACAATTTAAAAGGCAAGTATAAATATAACCTACAAAACAAACTGAAAATAATAATACTTTTGCTTATTTTTACAAAATATGTAAACTAAAAACAACAATAATAATACTTTTGTTTTTTGTTACAGATGCCCCCCGGCATTGTTGTGTACCTGGTTGCAAAACCAATTATGCCAGTATTTTAAAAACGAAACAGGCAGAAAGTACGTTTTGGTTTCCCAAAGATCCCCAAAGAAGGTATACTGGGTTATGCTCTATTTATAGAGAAGGCTATACAATTACCAAATCTTCAGTAGTATTTGCCAAACATTTGAAGGCCGCTGAATATCATGAAGATGATATTCAGCGGACTGAACAATGAGACGATAAAGATGGAAATGTAGGCATTGAAAAGTTAATATTTCCCAAATTAAAAGACAATGCATTTCCTAATATATTTCCTGAAGTACCATCATATGTAACTGTTCCTCGTACTAAAGAAAGAAGGAATCCTGAAGACAGAAGAAACTTTTTGCATAAGAAGAGGGAACGAGAGATAACAGAATTCTTAGACAATGATTTAATAGATTCATTTAAATCATTTTTAAGAGACTTAGACAATAATATCCCATTGAAAAACTGGAGTAAAAACCAAGTAAAATTACAAGTGACTGTGTATATTTCTATGTATTAAACATTAATCAGTTGGGATACGTGTGTGATAATATTTGTGTAATAAGTAGTGTAATAGCAGTAATTTTAGTGTAATCGTCAATGTAGGTAAGAATAGATTAAGTAGTAATGATTTGAAATGGATTTTACAATATAGTAAATTAACAAGATGGTCACAATTAGAGAACTTACTTTCTCGATATAGATCTGCTTTTTAGATAAGTGATAACAAATTTGAACAATACATTCAAAAACCTTTTGAGAATATAGGCTATTTTAAATCGATATACAAGTTATAAATGGTATGTTACATTCAAAACATTTTTCATATATACCTCTTTTAACATATATATTTGGTCTATATGACAAAAAACTTATTCATATTTAAAATTGCTACCATCGAGTGGGCCGGACTTTGAGAATCGGATGCATCGGACAGTTTGCTCCGCACAAACAATTACATGTAGTTCTTGTGTCTAATGACATTGCTGTTTTGAGAGTTATGCCAAAGAATGAGTTAGTATTCCTTTTATAATACTTTTATATTACCACGAAAAAAAAAACAGTAGCCTTTATCGTACATAATATAATCTCACTAAATTTATAAAAACTCATTATTTATATATTTTATATTATTTTCCAATCTGAAATAATTTTATCTTCAAAAACAAATTAGTTATAAACAAATATGACATTAACTTTGAAGTACCTAAAATAGTAATTATATTAATGACAAGCATATAAATATTCGTATTTAAAAATATGATAACAGTATGAAGCACATACACAATTAACGAGATAAGAATTTCCTTGCTTTTGATTTATTCAGTTTAATTTTAATTGTAGTGTATTTCACCTAGCCATGAATTTCAGTTACATTTTCTTTCACTTTTAAAGATAAATTTACGAAACTTAACAAACTCGGCGTGTGATAAAAAACTTAACAATTCAGTGCATATTGGGAATTAAATCTAGGGAATATAGGAAAGACAACCATATATGGAGTAAACACAATGTATCTGTATAATTCAGTGACAACAAACAAAAAATAAAAATTACAGAATTTAAAGAAGAGTTAGTGAAAAGTCTTCTAACAAAAAAGACAGCAGAAAGTTCTAAAAATATAAATCGTCACATTTTACAGAAGACAAACAAAAGAGGAAGATGCTAAAATTGCTATAAGTAAATCGCGAAGAAAGAGGGAAGAAAACAAGCACAATAAAACTTCTAAAAAAGTGTAAACATGTCCGATTTGTTGTAAGAGGCCAAATAAAATATTAAGCTTGGTCGTCTGTACAGGTACATACATTGATTGACTACATCAGCATGCTGTGCTGCACTATATAGGTACACACTTTACTGTTGGCAAATAGTACTTTGTACCAATATGGTTCATAAATACATAATGGCAATACTAAATTAGCTTAACAGTCAACCTGTTAAGATCAAGTTTTGCTGTCAAACAACTGATGTTAGCAATCGCGCTCATATGAGACAAAACTATGACCTCTTGCGTTCTTCAACATTTGTTCCTTATATGATATTTAGTTTCAATTCATGAGTAATATTTTTCATATATTCTCTTTGGATCGTACCTGTATTATACTTATTATTTACATATTAATATATACACCAGTTTAACAAAAAATTATATAAACAGCAACAAATTTGGATCGAATAAATCAATAAACAGTAAACATGAACCGTTATAACTTACCTTGAGGTAATTCACCCAATCCATACATGGGATACAAATATGGAGACTTTCCATATCTGGCTAGTGAATCAGAATACAATTTAATGCGGTTAATAGTCTCCACAGCGGGTCTGTTTAAATAATCATCATCTCTGTGTAAAGCCAAGGCATGTCCAGTAAAATCTTGGGTGTTCTTATCTATAACAAAGTATATGTTAATGACAACGTCAATAAATTTTACAATTGATGTGTTAGTGAGATTACTTATACTAAGTTCAAAAGAAAGTGGAGAGTTAAAGCCGTTGATGAAAAAATTAATATGTCAGATAACTTTTTTTTTAACACGGTTCTCCAATTTCTTATTTCCGAGGTGATAATCCAAACGTCAAATATATACTATTATTGTACTAACATACCTCTATAATAATCCCTAAACCTACTATGATTTTCATAAACCATATTTTTATAAAGTTAAACTTTATTACTTAACTCCAAAGTTTTTATACTATAGACATTTGAAATGCGAATTATTCACGCGCCTTTATCTAAAGAAATTACGAGTCAGTAATCACGCTTTTAATAATCTATTGATTTTAAACTGAAGTTTCAATTCAACAATTTCATTAAAACAATTAATAACCATTAACCATTATTTGGACGATTATTTTTTCGCATCTACTATATTTTTTTCAAATTTACTTTTCAAATTTAATTTATAAAATTCATGGTTATAAAGTTTGCCCTGTTCATCGAACCTAAGGGAGAGGGAAATATTTGGACAGATCAACCTGTTTTTCCTGTAGTACAGTCCTTTTCTTCCAAAAAATGGTTTTTGATTGTGACTATCTAAATTTTACAGTAACGTTTTTAAAGCATCTCATATTTAAGCTTCAATTGATATTTTGCACTCAATAAAATTATTCTTCTAGGAGGATCAACATCATCAAATGCCATTACAGACTTTCGTGAGCTTTAGCCTGCCTCAAGACATTCTTCCATCCTTCTTTGTTGAGTACCTGTCTTTTGCATCCCCCCATTCCAATCTTTATCACATCTTCCTGCACATCATCCAGATATTTGAATTTTACTTGTTGCCTTACGAAGGTTTGTTTAAAATGGTTATTTCAGTTGGATCACCTTTATCTATCCGCATCATAATATGGTCCGCCCTGATTTATTGTGATGTTTTTAACAGTGTCTGCATCACCAAATGGTCTATAGTCTATAGAATTAAAAATTGTACAGGTCTTATGTTCAGTGTTCCATTGACTTTACTCCACTGTTTTTTGTTTAAAAGCTCTTTTTACAATTTCCTCATTGTAATTAGCTGTTTGTTTGATCGCAAGTTTAATGATGAAGAGATTTCAGTATATAAAAAAAGTAAAACTGCAATCATGGATGACACATAATGTCAGTGCGAGTTCAAGCAAACCTTGATTTACATTATTCTTAATATAAATACATAAACAAATATTACCTAGGCCAAATTTTTCATATAGAGCCTGCATATTTTGAGTATTGGGATCAAGGTCTTTCCATGTCTTTGGATCATCGGGTTGGAAATCTTGAACGTATATGAGGAAATTACGGAATCTACGTTTTTCAAACATTCCCATCAAATCAGAGGCTAAAGCTTCTTTCTGGTCAACTGGAACCTGTAATAAATATACACATAGTTACAATACAATCCACATTAAGTCGTCTCAATTTAATAAGAGATGTCGAAATTTGCTAGATATCAAATTGTTATTGAGATAGATATGGAACGATTTAGACACTTTTGCGCCATAACACCAGATAATAAAAATAATCCCTTTATGCTGTTTAAGCTTTGCAACATATGTTCCAATTATTGTAGTCCCTATGTATTCTTTTTCTATCATCCATCGAGGACTCGTAACACTCGTGATAAACAGATAAGCAATATGGCAGGTTTTAAATATATTGTATCACACACTCCAAGAGAAAACAAAAACTTTTGTATACACATTGTAATAAATAAGTAGTGAATAAAGGTTGATAAATATTTTAGAGTAAACAGAAGATCCCACCTATTGGGAGCACCGAGCACATTGTGATAGACTCAGCTGAATTCATTCCAACTAAACTCTTAAAAAACTTGATGCATACAGAGCAGATTCTCAAAGAAGCATCAGTGATTGAGGGTAAAGATACAAAGTCATATCTATGTCCACTTCGCATTTAATGCCTGCCATAGTTGCAGAAGAAACGTTAATAACTACAATTTCATAACACGGCCGGTATTGATACCTTTTAGCTCCCATTTATCGCATAACCTATTATATGGCATAATCTTCTAAGAAAACTGAAAAAAGTATCTTTTCTTCCCATGAAATTACGAAATTCTCGGGGTTCAGAGCTTTCAGATGTATTTTGACTTTCTAAATACCACTAATGCAATATCGTGTTTAATTATCAATTAGTAATTAGTTATACAACAGGCAAGGAACAAAAATTACGAAAAAACTCTGAAAAGAACTGCTGAAAAACCGTTTTAGGCAGTACTTTTTAAAACTTCTGAGTAATTTTTAATTCTTGCCTATTGTGTAACAAATTAATGATTGCTTATTATGCATTAGTAGAATTTAGGACATCGAAATACTTGCCTGTAGGTTTTGAGCTCTAAGAATTCCATACTTTTATGGGAAGAAGTGACCTTTTGCAGTTCTCTATGAAGATTATGTCCTGGAGATGACAAAGAAGTTTTAAGAACACTCTGAGCTCTGATTAGAACTTTGAATGGTTCTCAAGGTGTAGATTTCTGTAAAGCAAGATAGTTTTTCAATAAGATAAGGGCCTAGCAATGAGGAAGGGGTGCGAAGAATCTCCAGCTTGGCATAATTTGATATTGAAATGAGTTTGTAAAATAGGAAGATGGAATGTGTGCAGTTTATATGAACAGGGAAAGAAAAACACAGAATGCAATGAGAAGACTGTTTATATCAATTGTATGCACCGCCAGCAGAAAGTGAACTAAAAGAGCTTGAAAAGTTCTACACAGATGTAAAAACTGTTGGGTGATCTTAATGCAGGGGCGGCCCGTCGGGGTAGGTAAGGCGCCGCCTGACCTCTTAAATGTACAATAATAAATTATTTATTATTATAAATTACTTATGTCAAAATTGTGATTTATAAATTTTAATATAATACCTAATTTAAAAATACTAATATAATTTAAAATAAAAAACGCTTTTTTTATATTCTCTCCGAAGTAAATATTTTGTACGCATCGTAGTAGTCAAAGACACTTCAAATTTTTGCCTTAAACGAGAAAAAAAAAACGTCTATGTCTTTAGCTTACGCAGGAGCAACCCGAGCAACAGGGCTAGTCAGTGAATATCTTCTCTTCACACGCTGCAAATTCGCCTGCCTACAGATTTCCTTCAGGCTATGAATATTTTAAACAATATTATAATCTGCAGTTTAACCCTTTCACGACGGCAGTTTTTCGACGTGCCGTGCCTCAGATACGGGAGTTTTTGTGCCTTGCACTTCAATGCGCTTCCCGTTTAGCACTTTCGCGCATTTATGCGTTTCCCGACTTTTGTGGAAACAAGTTCGTAAGTGTAAAATTGAAAAAACAAGTACAGAAGACAAATTTTTTACTAATTATTTATAAAAATGCATATAAATCAAAGAAAATATTCAAAAAACTAAAACATATAATTCTATATTAGAATAGCAGAAGTTTAGACCCAATACATTTATTTTATTATGGTAGTTTTCAAAACAAGGTACCACACAAAGAAGAACCTCACACTGTTGGAAACAATAGATTGTTTCTTTGCGTACTTTTTTTTACTGCAAACGATGCAAAGGAATGTGTTTTTGGTTTATATACATCACTGTCTTTCCGCCACTGAATCTCATCATCATCATCGACTAACTTAATTTTTTTCTCTTCTCAGTCAGATATCTTTTTTTCGAACCCATTTGTTAAAAAAAATTATTAATTTAATTCAAAATACTTAAATAAAGGTAACGTGGTTGAAAAGCAAATTTGCACGTACCACCATTCGTCAACAAATGACTTAACATTTTTTCCAAATGTACTGACTTCACTCCAACTCCCACGCAGTTCATCGCAGCTCTGTGAAATTTAATAAGCGATGACATGTTACATGCTGTTTAAATAGTATACAATAAGCAAATTTAAAAGCGATTACGAACGTTTCCCGATCTAAAGTACATTTTGATGTAAGTGAATATATGCGTCTCCCGTATCTGTGGCAAGAAAACTTTTGCGCGTATATGCGGTTCCCGACGTTAAAGGGTTAATTAAAAAACCTTTTTCAAGGCGCCAAAATCAAGAAGGATTAGAAATTATTGTAATGGGCCTTCCTACCTGGATGACACAGTGTTAATTGAAAATAGTTACGAAAAACTTCATGAATGAATATTCGTGATGAATATGGAGTGAAGCTAAAATACCATAAACAAAAAGGTGATGGTTGTCAGTAAAATCAATCAGCCTTGTTTTTGAGAGGAAGAATATGAGAAAAATACTGGGATCAAAGAGGGAAACCAAAGAGGATGCAAGGCAATGAATCACAAAATAGAAGAATGGATGGGTCAAGAGAACATAGTTACAACAATATGTTAAAAGTTACCAGTTTAAGGACAATCAAAGAGAGAGAAGAATGGAGAAAAGTAGTGAAACAGCAAAGTAACAACAGAAACTGTAAAGATGATCCCCCACACAAAACGCATCTTCAAGTTAAAATAGCTTCAGCTTCTTACGGACCAAATATATTGTATATATCTTCTCAGCCTTCTATCGACCATTTTTGGACATAGGCCTCTCCTAAATCCTTGCTTCAATCTCTATCCTGAGCAACATACTTCTAATTTCTGCCTATTCTTTTTATGTCATCTACTCATTTCATTTGTGGTCTTCCTCTTGGTTGCCTTTTTAAATAATTAAAACTTTTAAATTTCAGTAAGTTTTAATTTTTAAGTAAAACCAGAAAACAATATGATCTAAATACAATACATTTTATAGTCTCTTATATATTTTTTAATTCCGCAATGAAATGGTTCATAAAGACAAAAAATACTGTTATGACTGATAGTTGAATTTCAAATATAACATAAAAAAGACTTGGCTATCCATTAGAGCTTGACAGACTGAAGTAATTACATGCTTCAGTTATTATTTTCTATACAGAGAAATCAAGTATATTTTAACAAGACAAACCAACTCAGAATGCTATTTGATGACTGCATAAAACAACAAAGAACAGAATATCAGCTTATAAATGGGATAATTAATTAAAAGTGACAAAATGAATACATTTCATGTTGTGTGGAGATTTATAGCATAGTGAATATTAATGAAACTGTATAAATATGTAACATTTTGCTAAATCCTTAGTTTCCTCTAGATAATTAAGCTAAAATAATTAAATATTAGTAAGGTAAACAAGGTTTATATCATAATCAATCTTGTTGCCATAACTAACATTAATTAATACTGTTTGCTAATTTGTTATAGACAATAATCTGCACTATAATGTTTGACTTTTTTGATGTAGCTGATAATAAAATTTATTACTAACTATTAACTTATTATTAACTATTTAATAGTACCTAGCAAATTTTCAGTTCATAAAGTGATAACATTTTATGTTTGGATAAATTACAACAGATACTTAATCCATACTTTCTTGGCCAAACCTAGTAATTTATATAACCAAATAATTAAAAATTTATCCCACAATATATATCGTAGAGAAATAATTAACCATACAATGAAACCTTTCATTAAGCTTTAATTTACTTTTTAAAATTACATTAACTGACAAACACACTGAATTACATTAACCTTTAAACCCCCATGTGGGGTCTCTCAGAGACCTCAGAAGTGTTAATCATATGAAATTTTGATTATTAAAAGCTACTGGTAACATTGCTTTTAGTTATGTGTTAAAGGTCACATGTCTTGGATTATTCCAATATGGCGAGTCATTTTGGTGTGACTAGTTTGAATCATTTATTACCATTTATCATATTATTACTTTGGTAATTTGAATCTCCTAAAGACCCCATCTGGGTATTATTGTGTACCAAATTTTTTGTTAATAAAAGTTATTTCTGATTTAGTGAATGATGTATCTGATTGTAAAATTGAGTATGAGAGCAATCAAAACTTGAATAACAACTTTTAACAAATTATCTTAAAGACAGTCTGGAACAGAAGAAACTTTATAAATTAACAGTGAAGAAGAATCTGATGCAGAAGCTATGAATGCAGAATTGGAAGATTGTTTAGTAGGTCCATGGTCCAAAATATACAGAGAAATCAGGTATTTAGAGGAAAAGAAATAGTGTAAATGTGTATCCTGGATTGACAAAGCACTATATGCATAGACATTTCCTGTCTAAACACCCTAACTATATTAGCCCATCATCTCACATTTTGGCATAACATATTTATTCCCAATTTTATCCTTTTTTGTCATACCACTCACCAATCTAAGCATTCTCATTCCTCCCACATTTATTCTTGTTTCTTTTTCACTGTCCAACATTCAGTTCCATATTATCAGAGCAGGTCTTATGGCAATTTTATAGAAATTTCAGTTTCATTGGAATCTACTACACAACACAGAATCAGCTGTGCTACGTTAACAGTTAAGATTGTAGTACAGTTTTTAGGCTTAATTGAGGAAGGGACCAATTTTAAACAAAATGGGTATTTTACTTTAAAATGTCAAATTTTGGACTTGTGCTGTTTTCGAACTCACTGATTTAATTGATGCAGCAGCTAATGTTATCACACAGTTTCCCTGTTACCTGATCTAACACTTATAAGAATAAATAAGGCCTAAGCACTGAGCTATGATGCAATCCCACTTTACCCTAAAATTTATCAGTTTCCCCGAGAACTATCCTAAATGCATGGTAGAGACTAATCCAGACTGCAGGGTTTTATCTGGTATACAGGTAGGTCTAAAACTGCAGAAGGGTCAGGTGCATGAATATTCAGAAGTGGTAGAAATTTAAACATTTCTTTTCCACTAGGAGAACCTTAATGTGGACTATTAGCTAATGTGGGAATGCCGAGAGGAATTTGACAGACCTGCGGAACATAACAGTGTTACAAGCACTAATAAAGAATAAGAGTTAGTGAGAATAGTCTGCTTGCAAGAATAAAAAAAACTTAAAAATAAAAGTACCAAAGAAAGTCTTGTATAAGAATTGTCTTGTATAATACCAAAATTGTTTATATACCAAAAGGATTTTTAGCTATTAATTAAATTGAAATCCCTATCCCATATCACTTATACTAAAAATTGGGTAAAAACATTGCATTTAAACATTTTTTATCCAACATTAGTTCCATATTGCAATTTTAATGTGTCAAGAAATAATAAACGGAAACTATAGTTAATTTTATTTATATCCACAAAATACTCTCAACAACAACCTCCAAAATTCTAGCATGTAATGATCTATTCAGAAGTTTACACTGTCTATCTACCTGCTAATTAGTGCAAGTTGTGATCAGATATTGTAGTAATATATTGTTTATGTCTCAACACTGATTATTGTGTAATTTCTTAATATTATCCTAATGAATACATCTTAAAATTTTGTATATATTCCCTCTGCAGCTTATTAAGATTTTTAAATAATTTTTAATTAGAACCCTACTATCAATTATTAATATTTTTTTTGTAATTATCTTTTATTATCCACATTAATAAATAAATTGTTATCGATCAATAAAATATGTATCTTTAACAATAAAGCAAAAAAGTGTTTAATTAATATGTAATCAAATTTTCATATCCTCATGCATCCTTGTGATACCTATTACTTGGATTTACTTATAAACGTATAACTACAACCATAATTTAACTTACCTTAGCTATTTTGCCCCCTTTGTAGACGTAACTTCCTTCGACAGATTTGAATTCCAAATATCGTGTAACGCCCGTATGAATGAGTAGTTTAACTAGCATTCCGTTGGCCATAAGGAACTTTGGAATCAGATCAACATTCCAATCTCTACCTCTGCCGTACGACTCATCTGGAGGAGGAACTCCAAATTTCGAGAAAAGTTCTTCCAAAGGGCAAATTGAAGCAGACTCTCCGCCGTAGTACTTGTTTCGATCGACGTGTAATACCTTTTTTCCCGACACCGACAACATTCCACTGAGAATACATTCTTTTAGGCCAGTGCCCAAGACAATGCAATCATATTCTTCATCCATTATTGTGAAGTAACTATATAAATTAATAAAGAAACCTAATTGACGGCAAAACCAATACCGATACGGCCCACTTTTATTGAAGAAATTGATACGTCACTATACCAGTGTATCCTTCTAAAAACTGACAGTGAAAACCCCTAAACTGTTTATTAGTACTAGCCATTTTTACGCGAACTAACAAATGCTTTTGCCACATTTCCTAATAATAATAAAAAAAAAAAATACAAGCAAATTATAATCTTTAAAGGATCAAATATAATAAGAAAACAATATTTCACGGCTTTTTAAATTACCTAGTATTATTTGAAAAAATGGGTATTGCTTTCTGAAAAATTTAAGAACAAAATATCATTATTCATTCATATATTTTTCTATCTAATTATGTTATCAGGGGGGCGTATTTAGAGAAATTTACGCCTGAAGTCCTCATAAAGCCAATTTTAATCACTAGCATTTTAATCACTACGAACAATTTACAACTTTTAATTTACAAAATTTTTTATTTGTTTTTTAAATTAAAAATACTTTTATTCCAAGATACAATTAACCTATCCAACATTTTATTAATAAAAAAATTATATTATAAAATATTATATATTATTATTATTTTTATTTATTGACGTCACTCTCAAAACTACAATTCATTGCAGTTGCTAATTCGAATATATCCCTAACAAAAATGAAACTGACAGCTGCCGGACCGTGAATGACAGTGACGTTTAAACCTAACATTAAACTTTCACGACGAGTTGGCAAAGCGTTTGCGCTGGTTAATTACACGAGTTGGAAAATAACTTGAATTAAGAACAATAGTTGTCGAAGTGAAATTGAGTGAACGGGTGTTTAATTCTCGTGTTCATTGAAAGTTTCTACTACGCGTGGCAATTTATAGTTTTAATTTGTTTAGTTTGTGACAATACTTTTTATGGAAAAACAACAGCTGATGGAAGTTTTTTACAAGATATGATAAATAGAGGTAAGACGTTAACCTTTGCTTCTTGTATTTGCGTTCGCTGAGTTTATTTTTCACTTAAATATGTCATGTAATAAGTTGTTTTATCGAATTAAAGAACACAAATAGTTTTTATACACGAGGGATAAATATTTCTGTTGCGAAACAACAATAATTTCATTCTTATAATAGCTTAAGTGGTTAGGTGAATTTTGTGCAGTATTAGCTTATGTTTTTGGATATTTTTTTCTATCGTTTTAATATAGATTGAATAAATTTGTAATAATAATTGACTACATCTCTATCTAAATATAGATTGTGTATGTAGGCCATACCTGTGATGAATAAACAAAGTTTAATAAGGCAGGTTATTTGTATAAATTAAAATATCCAAAGAACCTGAAATTACTTAAGCTACTTTTAGTTCTACCTAACAATATATTTTTCAAACAAAAAAACACCATGTAAAATCAACTATTTAAAAGAAATAAACAATACAAAAATACAGGTTTGACAAATTTGTCCAAATTTGTTTATTATCCTGTTTGTTTATTTTGTCTACCAAAAAACCAGATGGACATAGTATTCAATGTTAATTGACAGAGTTGTTTATTTAAGAAATTTAAATTTATTTAATAAAAATAAAAACTTAAATTTTGCCAAAATATATGTTTGATTAATCCTCAATCCTCAATAACAAATATATCATCATCAAAACATTACTTTCTGAATTCACAGAGGAGCTTTTTTTAATTTTTTGTTAAATTGTGTTCAATGTAGATAAATTAACAGTATCAATTAAGATAATTAACTAATTTCTGTTTTTATTTTTATCAAATAACATGCTATTTTGTAAACTATATTCAAATTATGCTGTAACACAATATCATGTTTTTAATTTAAAATATGATTATTTGATGGATTATATTTTAATTGATGTAAATAAATTCTTCTATTTGTTTCTTTGTGCTTTGTTACTTTAGTATTTTATTCATGTTTTGGTAAATGGATTTAGTTCTTTTGTTATTTTCTGTATATTTTTGCCCATATCTTTACTACTTATATCTTGAAATATTTTTTAAGACAAGTGTCCCCCTGTTTATTATTTAAGCATCCATTGGCCTCTTCTCTATAATTATATCAAAGTTGTATATTACTTGCCCAATATTTTTTCTTTGGGATTTAATCTTTATTATTTTGCCATGTTTTTTGACTAAGAGTACTAAGACTAATCTGGATAGTTTGTTCTCTTTTAAGTATTGTCTTATTTGTATAATAGTAATACCAAAAACATCATTTAGTTTAATTCTATTGCCAAGTTTAAATTCTTTAATCACTCACATTCAATTCCTGGTTTTCCTGAAATGTATTATACTTAATATAATAATAGTTATTTGGTCGACTTAGTCTGAATAAAATGAGTATCTTGGGTAAAACTAGGGGTAATAATAGACAGTTAAAGCATAGCAGTGGGTAGCAGTACCACAGGCCCAAGAGATAGCAAACTACTCTGCTGTTATCCCAAAGCTGCACTAGCAGTATAAATAAAGGGAGACTATTAATATCAGTGTGGTTGGTTTTTACCTGTTAAGTATTTAAAATTTGTCTTCTAAACTCTTCAAATTGTGTCAAAAGTACTTAAATGCATATAATTATCAAGAATTAACACTTTTCTTCTTTCATCTCTATTAGTCTTCTTGTGAAGATACATTTTTTCTATTTTCCAGACTTAGTGTTTCTTGTTTTTCTCCATTTCAAAGTTTTCCTATTTATCTTAGCTATTTGAACTTTGTACATAGTTGTACAAAATAGTTGATTTGAGCTGCAATCAAACCATTCTATTAAGTTTCACCACGATAGCATTGTTTTTTTCTTTCTCTTATTGTCGCCACAATTTTCTCATGCATTATATTCTACAGAAGTTGATATTTTACTCTATTTATGCTTTTTACAACTTCTCTTTTCTCTGCTTTTTTTTTCAGGAATATAACAGAATAAAAAAGTAAATTTTGTTGCTCACATGTACTGCTAATCCACATTGCACATCAAAATCTTTAAATCAGTTTATCTCTTGTGAAAGTGAAATTCTTAAAAGTGACCAGAGAAGAGAAATAGGATACAAAATCTTCTATAAAGTCCATTTAGTTTTTCTGACATCAATACTGCCTTATAAGGATTTGAATACTATGACCAGGTTTGACAATAATCTAGCTTAGCTTAACCCTTTTGGTCACACTTTTTTTTAGTGTAATGAAATATATTTTGTTAATAATTCCAAATTATTCCCAGTTATGGTATTCTTAATGTCTTTTGGTAGGAATAGTACCATTTTTTTTTTATTAAAATAGAGCCCGTTTTTGATGTTGTCAATTGACGACACAGTGACTGAAAGGGTTAAGTAAATAAATCAAGGATTTGTACAACCGTTCTCATTTATTTTTCAACATTGTTTTCTTTTAACTCAATACAGTTTACAAGAGTTATCCTTGATCTATCCAAATTAATGACAAATTAATGATTTCCAAAGTATTGTCACATACTGCTAATTGTAACCATGGAGTGGAGTAATTTGAGACATGGACTAGTTTGTGACCCTCCAATTATGAAATTGGTTGGACCCTGGTCTTCCTGGTCTTTCAGAATACAACCGTAAGCAACTCCACCAACTAAGGCGGCACAATGCCGAAACATCGTGGGGCTCTACCTTACCCGTAGTACCTGTGTTGCGAGTACGTCACCCGTCCGGACATCCTCCCCCCGGAGGCGGAAAGATGACGCAGGCAGAGGAATTCCACCTCGCACGTAGACAGGTTACTGCCAAGGATCACTCCTCTACCACTCTTAAATCATTCCAGGTGGGAGGTATTTACGGGCCCAGCTCGTTTAACCTCGCCTGGATCTTGTGGAATGAGAGTAGAGTGGTCCCACGAGATGCTCGTCTCGGATACTAGGAGTGTAGACCGGTGACCGAGATGACTATTTCGTATCTCGAGTGCTTTTCTACAGACCCTATACCTCAAACAATGGTTCTCCACCTCTCATTACCTGTCCATAAGTCACCTCTTATGACAGGCAGGGTCTTCTGGCCCCGGCCGTATTCTTATCTCCGCGAGCCGAACCGACAGTAATTTGAAACACTGAATTGAATCACTTTATCAGTAGAAATATCATAGAAATATTTATAATTGAAACACTTTATCAGTAGTCTTCTGGAATTTCAGATTATCGCATGTATTTGACAGCAGTGCCTGTGCTGATTCTTCTAGATATTTCAAGAACATTTGTTCTCATTATATAAGCTGCCAAAGTGGCCTCTGAAGGATTAAGTAGTATTAGCAAATTGTTTTGTAAGAGATGTCAGTGCAAATTTAAGTGATAATTATTAATTTAATCAGAATTTGTCATATTTGTAATTAAGTGAGTTTTTAGGGTTAATAAGGTTAGTTATACACCATTTGCTTCACGTAATCTCTGAATCCAATGAAAAACAACAGTGTACATGTGTTGTTGTTGCGACAATTTTGTGCATTGGTCAGACCATTTCTGGAATACTGTTCATGTGTGTTTCTCTTCATTGTGCTGCTCATATACACAGTATAAAAAAGGTACAGCATCAATTTATTCACTATATATTGTTTAAGGCCAATCTGCCTTTTACATATTCTACTGTTACGACCTTCCTCAATGTACTTTCATGAAACTAGATGTCACTATAGAAATTTGATATACATTTATCAAATTGTTAATAATAAAGTAGTTGATTGCCCTGGTCAACTTTCAAAGAGTGTCAAATAATCACCATCAGCTTTAACAGAAGGCAGACAGAAGTAAACATCAACAAAGGAAGATTTGCAAGAACTGCTACAAAAAAAAACATAGCGAGCATCACGGCCGTCAGTATGCTATGAACAAAATTAAAAAGGTAGACACCTTTTGCAAAAGCTGTGACAAGGAACCTTTTCTGTGTATAGGTTGTTTTAATGAATTTATAACTTTTTTTATTGGTTGTTTTACATTATTTGATTTTTCTGTTGTTGAAAAACATTTTTGTATCAATAAATATTATTCCAAATTTGTAAATAACGTTTTTGACTTATATGGGACCCCATTGTCATATTCCATAAATCGCACAAATTTTTTATACAGCACATAGCTTGTAGGCCTCGTTGGTCCATTCCCATGGTTATTTAATACTATATAAACACCAACGGCTCGGTACATATCGGAATAAATGTTGATCCATAGGGCCAACATGGCCTGTTAATGCAAAACTTGCGTTGGTCCCATTGGACCAACGTGGGCTATTGAAGCAACATCAGCGATAGTCCCACCGGACCAACATGGCAGGGAACGTGTTAAAAAAGCCATTGAAATATTTAAAAAGGAAAATTTGCTTATATTCTCTTCTGACTGGAAAAAATATTTTTACAATTAGCTTATATTCTTGCGTAAAAATGTATAATCTGTGTAAACACAAACTTTTACTCCTAAGCAAAAGTGTGTAACATTGTGTAAAGTATATATCCTGAAGTTAGACCAATAACCCTCGCATATTTGAGTTTTGAGTTGCTAAATACTTTAATTAATGAAACTTCATACACACTTTATGTTGCATAATTTAAACATATAACACGAGATAAAGTAACCCTTAACCCTTGCTTTTTGAGGTCGTAACGAAACAGATGAATAAAAAACAGAATGGAATCTTATTTTCCAGGAATTTATTGCCGAATCCACGCGTTTATGAACATAGAGTTGTTATCAATAAATTCAAACGTCTGCAATCTATTATTATTTCCAAAATAAATTGCAACACCGGGATTCATTATTTTCTTTACTTATTTTGCGAAATATCTGATAAATATTTGCCTCTATTTATTTTTAAATGATAAATAATTGTAAACAAATGTAAATTGTGACTTAGTTACACACCCAATCCAACACAGAGTATTATAATCTCACTTTACTTAACTTTAACAGGAAATGTACTTGTCTAAATAAAGTAACAGATAAATCGTATCAGC